TTACAAGAAATGTATAGAGTAAAAATAGGAATGTGTACATTTTCGTACTAATTCGAAATTTATGCACAACCAATTTAAAATGGCGGAATTATTCACTTTAATTCGTGCTTTTTTTTCTCCATAAACACTATGCACGATTCTTGAATAAAATACACCATTTACAGACATACTTTCAGAAAAGTTACAAATATGGGTGGGTACCTACTTGGGTATTATTGGACTCAATACACTCCAGGAGTATTTGGTTCTGCATCAATGATTTGAGAATAAAGCTTAGGAGTGTTTTGTCCAAAACACAGCAACATGAAACAGATGTGCAAAATTAGTATCAAATTTGTCTTGATTCAGAAGTCGATGCCGTAGTGTCAAGTATTCCTGGCCATGATATTAATGCTGCGTTCGGATACTCAACTCTGAGTGCACTGTGTAACTCCACACGCACAAAATCATTTGGGAACAACCAAAACATGCTGTGCATAGAGTTAACACAGTGCTCTCCGAGTTCAGTATCCGAACGCAGCATAACTAGACTGTAGTATTAGGTATGATGCAACAAGAAGTGAAATATTACATCAGATAAAAATAAACATACAGAATTCTTTATTCGTTTTTAAACAATGTTAAATGATTATAAAATTTTCTAATCCTATTCTCCCTCTCTGATGCCAGTTTTGCAAAATAATGTAACCTAATATTAATGTAAGTTTGAATGATAACATCAATCAATTGATTCCTATGATTATTTAGAACAGTTTGATTTAACATATGTTGCTGCATTGCAAAAGAACTAAAAATATTACTATCAACTAAAAATTTGGTTTGGCAAGCTAAATACAATTTTATATTATTCTTTACAAATATACATGCCTCATTTTGACGACAAACACGCTCACAAAGTAAACAGAGACGATGAACGTCTTTTGATGCCTTCGTAAGGCCTCCCCTATCCTTTATGTTTATTAGTAGTGAAGAAGAGTCTTTTGATACAATGTCATTCAAGCATATTTCACAGTCTAAACCTTTTCTCACTTTTCTTACCACAAATCCGGACATATAACCCACTACGTCATTAATGTATGGATTTAGACCAAAACTATCATGATAGGCATGATCTAAAGTTATATCGTCGTGATCAATTTCTAGCGTGCTTGTATCAATTAAATAGTCTACGGGTTCTCTAACATGCGCGGATGTTACATGCAAAATAGTGACCGATTGATAATCTATACAATTTCCAAATTGTGATCCCCATACTTCATGCCGCACTAGCATGCGCTTATAGATACGTAAGAACTGTAGCGCAGTGGGGTTGTTGCTGTTACCACCATAGCTTCTAACAGCAGAAAAAAATACCTCTAAATGGTCTTGACTTAATTTATAAGATAATAAATATGTCATTGAGGTTTTTTGTATTAATGTTTTATAAATGTCTATAAGATTAGTTAAACATATGATTATTCCCAAAAATCCTGTCTTCCTAGTAGAATTAATAAGTAACATATTATCGCTAGTCTTCAATTGAGCTATATACTTAATACAACCATTTATGTACTGAATATAAGCTTCACAAGTTGTTTGAGACATACATTGGTTAAACTCTTTTTTCGAAAATTTATTTCTACTGTTTAATAAATCAAACGCATTATTGATAATTTCGCAAAAATATGCAGTGCTTTCCGCACCTTGAAACTCGGGCAATTTTATTTGCTTTTCACAATATAATAATGCACTTGCTACACTTGAACTTAATGTTTGTGCAGCAAGTTTCACATTCATTTTTTCATTTTTAAAATTGATATGTCTGTTACTTAATTTATTTGCTGCATGAAGTCCTTCTCTCTCTTGGTAATTTTGCAATTTGCTTAAAAAGTCCCACTTGATTAATTTACTCACCCATGAAACGAAATAGAGCTTCCTTTTACGTAAGGTTCGTTACACAATGCGCAAATCATTATAAAACGATTATGAATATGTAAAAATCCAATACGTACGACACAAATAACATAAAGAAAATTAATATCTATTAATGCACGTCACTGATTAAGTTGTCAGAAACACGACAGGTGGGTGATTTATGCGCAAGTACGTTGAAAATTGTGAAAAAGAAATTGTCTATCTTTGTCACAAATGATGGCACAAAATTTTGAGCGTTTGCTTCATCTAGGGAGTATGTATGATCGAAGATCGCCACTCACCCGTATCACAGACAACATTGTCTGTGCCCGTATGAAGTCACGCAATAAACATGCTTCCTAAAACTATTGCATTTATTATCACAATTAGCCGTAAATAGCATAAGCGTTACATGGTGTCAGAAGTGGGATCACCTAATCAAAGACTAATGAGTCGCATTACACGATCAACCTTACCGATAACAGAGGAAATGCTCAAGCCAGCAGTGATAGAAAACGTCAAGTCGAAGTTGCAAGTGTTGAGAGATGTCCAAGCTAAATACGCTAATCGAAACAAAAAGGAAGAGACCACACCGTTAAAAACAGGCGACGCAGTAAGAATTGAGACGTCACACCGAAATTGGATCGCAGGGAAAGTAATCGCGGAAACACAAAATCCAAGATCAGTGGTAGTCAAAACAAACGATGGAAAAGTAATCCGTAGGAACAGCACACACCTGCACAAAACCATAGCCGAGATACCGACTCTACCAAAGGCGACCGTACCTACACCGAGTGAGGAAGAAAATCCTAGTACCACCGAAGAGACATCAGAGAACGAAGGAACGAAACCACCACCAGCTAACACTGATAAGGCGAAAACTACTCGAGCCGGACGAACTGTCAGAGCACCACAGAGACTTGACTTATAAGTGCTATTAACCCTGCATTTGTTTTATTGTACTTCTTGTTACTGTGTTTTACATTATTTAGTATTTGTAAATGTAAACTTAACTTGCGTTACATGTCATGTCATTGTAGAAATTTAATTTGAATGTTTGACACACATTAAGCCTTATGCAAAGAAAAGGGGATGTAACATACGTGTATGTTTGGTTGCATATTGTAAGCAACCTATGACAACGTCGCATGTGTATATACGGCGGCATCGCCACTCACCCGTATGAAGTCACGCAATAAACATGCTTCCTAAAACTATTGCATTTATTATCACAATTAGCCGTAAATAGCATAAGCGTTACACCTACTAGCTAATGGAATAAGTAATTATTATTCCATGACAGTTATCTGGTACCTATATTTCACTTCTCCCATTATTAAATTGGACTGAAAGAGAACAAATTAGACTAATGAGTTTATTTAAAGTAAGACCGTGGGCATGGAAGGGTTTTTTTAAAGATGGGCATACGACAATGTAAAGGCGTTGAGTTATTTAAAATGGGCCATAGGGAAATTTACATAGCATCGTTTCAGTCATAGCTTCCTCACGAATCATCTACCAGAGTACTGTAGAAATTGTTTCTAAATGAACAATTTTATTCAAATCAGATATAAACGTATAAGATTACAATCGGTGCTCGAATTGTTTTCCACCGGCAACCAAACAATACCCGAACTCGGCACTGAATAGCTCGCATACCACTCAGCTACTGTGCCCACTCTTGTACAAATTGTACTGCATGAACACCTTTTCGAGCAGCGGAATACATGTTGCTGCTTCGTTGATGCAGTTTGAGCAATGTAAATTTCTCTATGGCCCAGCGCTTTTAAGTATACCTACCCATTATAGTATACCTAAATGCGTTACCCATTAAATGCATAAGGTTAGCAATTTGTTGTATATGTATGTCTGTGCCATCGCTAACCTTTTCTGATATATAGTTTCGTTATGAAAATCCCCGGCATTTGCGCAAAACGGTTGAAATCGAAATCAAAAACGCAGTATGGTTGATGTATATAGAGTGTGTCATATTTTTGTTTTCTATGTAAAGGTGTATTGCCTAACCATAGGGGTAGATTGCTACTGTTTTTCTGGAAGCTTGTCTAAACAGGCCCAAAACTTTTAGTCAATTGGGAACAGGAAAGCCTGTGCGCTCAATAAAATAGAAATAAACATATTGCATTCCCTAGGTAATGTAATGTTTTTTCATATAAAGAGAATAACAACTTTCTTTAACCATGAAAAATTCAATATAGCACCTATTTAAAAAAAAGTTGATATTCAAATGTCAGTCACCGCCATCTTGAATTTCATTTTGACATTATTTTCGAGTTTGTCCTATCCTCAGTGCCGCGTTTTCGCCAAGGCACAGTAGGCATGAGCCGTTGAAATTGGGAGCCTGCGAAGATGCATGCATCTTTGATAGTTGACGATACTATGCGATCAAAAATGAGTTGCTGTCGAGTCGCCTTTGAAAAATTTGTTTACATGGAAAATCGTATTTCACTTGAACTTCCAAAGGCGACTCGACAGCAACTCATTTTTGATCGCCCGTTATTCATATTGCAAAGAAAATTAGCTTAAACACGATAATATGATCCTAGTAAGAGTACACAGATCAGGTCACAGCTGACAGCAGCATAATAATAATATTTTATTATATTATTTTCTATGGGAGTCTGTTAAGTTAAATTAATAAAATTGAAACCATAAGTAATTATTATTTATTAACGAGCGACAAAAAGAACGAGTTCATGATTTTAGACTTTCTGTCCGTCTCTTTACACGATTACTCATGAACGGTTTCGAATGTTCCAATTGTATTTGCAGTAATAGGTAGCCAATGGTCAAGGGATTAACCGATTAAATTTTGATCAATACTCGTCAACCTGAAGTAACCTTGTCATTTGTTTTCTATATTGCTGCAGTTTATTATTAATTTGAATTTGGCCGATTCATTTTAAACTAGACAAAGCTCTCACTTTTAGACCATGGAAAACTTTACAATATATTCCCTTGGTAAACAATTTCCACATTCCATTCACATCCGTAATGAATAAATGCATTTCTTTAACCATTATAACCAAGTTCAAGCAAACTACTCATGGAAAATTTAAATTTAATTTTTAAGAAATTAAAAACAACCATGTTGCAAAACACTTTAATTAATTAATTGTCTACAACAAATTCATAACTTTAATATAAGATTAAAAACTGTAGGTAATATACTAAAAATAGGTTTAAATGCATGTGCAAAAAAAATGAACATTTACTAACGTCTGAAAAGTTCTGGAACTTTTGACTTTACAAATGATATTAAAAAATGCAACTAATTTTGTAAATATGAATTAGAAGAAAGATTTGATGGCACCACAGCTCACTTTTTTCCCTTGACATTTTTTTTCCACTTTTCATAAAAACTAGTTACAACCTCAACATTAATTCCCGCAGAATGCGCTAAACCAGTATAACTGATCTCTCGATTTTCTGAATTTGATATCGCATTTCGTCCAATCAGTAATGTAACTAAATTACTTAAGTTTTGTTGTTGAACAAAATGATGGCAACATTCTATGATTTGTATATAAGTAAACAGTTCCTTATCTTTCTTCTTTGGATACTTAATAAATGGAAGAGAAGTGCGTTCTTGAGGCCGTTGAGCGCGACAAAATCTGTTCCCGTGATGAAATTGTAACTCCAACCAACGAATTGCATCTCTAGCTTCTGATTTGATTCGTTTTAGATCGTCTAAGGCAGATACCACTAAAAATAAAATTGTTTCACTGTTCACTATCAAAACACAACAACTCACCTGCTGATGGTATCACGACAATAAATTTCTTAGAGTTAACCAGATGTTTTATAATAGCTGTCGACTGTATCAGAGAATCCACATCCAAAACTAAATAGGGTGAAAGTGACGTCTTGCTCTTAACCCTGTTTTCGAGCGCCCTAACTTCCGCCGCCAACCATAATTGTCCCATATGTTTCATTTTTGTTAGCTGCCCATTTGAATCGTTATTGTCTGTTGGTATTTTCATTCCTGTGAGTGTATTTTCTGAATCTGTGTCATTGAGTCCCTTAAAAATGATTATTAATTAGATGACACTAATTAAAACTAAGCAGTATGTACAATCCAATAAGCGTATTCGTTTTAATAGTACAACTAAACAGTCATTTTCCTATTCACAACAGTTTTGTTAATGGAATTAGGGTAGGTTCACAAACAGCTTTAACAGAAAAGTTTTCCAATCTACCAAGTTGTTATAAAAGTAGTAATTCAAATATATAATTTTTTAGTACAGGAAAGAACAGGCCGATTTAAATTCGAGGGCAACCATGGGGATTTCCGAAACTGTAAGAGATAGGTAGAGTTTAAATTTGGCAAAGTTGCGTATTTTGATGCTTAACAAAATGCCGTTTTGAAACTGAAACTTTCAGAGATATACCCTTAAAAAAATACTACATGTTGCAAAATCGTTTTTATTTTTTACTGAAGTTATTTAAAAAGATATTTCGAAATAAATGACACATATTTATGGAGGTCCATTTTACTTTTCTTGTCATTTGATTGATATTTTAACAATATTTAAAAAATAGTGATAAGCATCAAAATAAGTACGAAACATTTTTGAAATCTCGCCAGGAAAGATTGCCGGTCACAGAACACTTGATCCCGATCTACAATCTATGTTTTTATAAAGATGTGAGCGACTTACGGGATAGTGTCATGTCAATGTTGAACAAAAAGACTTTTCGTTCAACATTGGCACGATTCTATTCCGGAAGTCGCTCACATCTTAAGAAAAACATAGATTGTAGATCGACACAAGGTGTGCTGTGATCGGCAATCTTTCCTGGCGAGAGTAATAGTTCAATGTTCTACCGTCAGAATTTGACATGACAAGGTATATTGATCCTACAATCAAAGAATTTTTTAGTTCCAATATGGCGGATTATGATAAGTTGTCGCCATTGTCCTAATACAGTCACTGTACTAGAAACTAGTATAGTGGATAATTCATATTTTGTGTGATGGATAAATGATGATGATAAAATGATGATAAAATGACGTTTGTTCACATTAGTACGGTCCTTAGTGGGTCCTCCGGTATTGATATATGCGTCCCTTAAGGCTTAAATCATGGAAAACACAAACACAAAACAGTTTATTTTAAAACAAACTCCTTGTTGTTACACCTAAGTAAAAATAAAGAGAATTTTGAAAATTATTATAACGTTAAATAAACTTAAAATTTGTCTTTTCCATGATTTAAGGGATGCATATATCAATAGTGAAGGATAAATTTAGGAGCAATGACACAATGTGAACAAACAACGCAGTTTTATCATTATTATGGATAACTAGATCGAACTTAAATAATTGAAAAATGTCGGTTATTTGAAGTATTTTAACTATGGTGAATTAAGAACTTTTGTAGAGAATTTAATAACCTTTCATGATGTAATAATATACACGGTGTTCCAAATAAAGAAGTCACATTCTTGTTATTTGAAAAATGCGATGTTGTTTTGTTTTTTTAATGCGTCAACTTAATTTGAAACACAGTGTAGATAGGTAGGAACAGTTTTGGCATGTTCCTAAATGTTCCCAATGTTGCCATTTTTAAAATTCACTCAGCGACATAAGTTCAAACAAAAAACAGAAATCTAATTATAAAATGCTCGCTACATTCTGTGAGCCGGAAGCAGTTTAGTTTAGTAGTTTTAGGGCCGGTATTATAAAGCCCGCTTGAACGGAGATTGGCGTTCAATCGTAGTTTGAGTGCGATAGCGCGTATTATAAACGCCGTTTAAGTCGTAACCAGAGCTCAATCTCTGATTGAAGTCAACCCGCCAATTTTCTCGGATTTTGGCGTCCAAACGGAGATTAGGCGCGCGCACGTGTAAAGAACTGTAACCAGTTTATTTTGTTTTGTCATTTAATATTTATAACGAAATGGAAATAATTGAAATTGGACGTGCAAGAGATCGGTTACTGTGGGCAGTAAGCGACGATGACTCTTCATCAGAGGATGAGTTCATTAGAAGAAGAGCAGAAATTTTAGAGAAGGTGTTGAACATTTCGGCAAGTGATATGAAGAGGAATTTTGGCAGAGATTTCGGTTATCCAAGGATACTGTTAGATCCCCATAAAACAGGATTCAAGCACTAAATTGCTCGCTAAATTGTCCCCCAAACAAACAAGTAGGTTTGTGCTTTTCTATGGAAATTCTATTATTTTTGCGAATTTACGCAACTGGGTGTGTTAATTAATTAATAATTGCCCATCAATGGTGAGGCTGTCGTCACCAGCTCTAGCTTCATTACCAGTAAGGTTTTTCACTGTGCTAGATCATATTTTGTCTTCAGTTACTCAAATGTGGCTCAGTCAATGCAGCGTTATACTTCTCTACAATTTTCTTCCATGCGAGGGTGTATAAACACAGAATGATTAGGGATATAGATGCAAACAAAAAATTCACAACTGATGACATCCTGATGCTTTACCTTGTTCTTGGTAGTAGAGGCGTCCGCCCGTTTATTTTCAATTATATGTAAATATGACTTGTCTATCATTGGCACAGTGGCAGGCAAAACAGCGCTATGTAAAACAATTTAGCAAGGGGATGAACAGATCAGCACAGTTACAGTGGCAGGGGCAAATGGCACAAAAGCGAAAAGAACGAACGGCGCGGGCGCGATGGGTGCGAAGAACGTAAACGTCATCAGCTGTCACTGTCAGCTGACGCATCGGCCACTGAAAATTCTGCGCTTTGATTGGTCCTCGGTTCGCCCGCAGTGTTACCATCCTAGGGATCGTAACGGAGATTAACCAAACGCTCTTCCCAAGGTGTTTATAATACGCAACCGCTCTCAATCTTGGTTTCACGTTCAATCGCCGTTTGATTAATCTCCGCTTGAACTGTACTTTTATAATACCGGCCCTTAATGTTCTGCAATAGTATTAATAACTATCGTAGAGTCAGACAGTTTTCATGTACTAGAGGTTGAGGGCTAATGCGGCATTAGCCCTCTCAACCTTTATTATTTAGCTGTGGGGGTATATTATTTCTATGGGTCTTCTTGCACTATTCAACATCCCTGAAGCGCATTATCTCTTTCATCTCTTTATTTCTACATATACAGGGTCATTCTTGACGAGCGTCAGTTAGAAAGATGGCAAACCTTTGAACATGAAAATAAACTGATAAGTTCTTTAAAAGTTTTGGCACATGATGAATTGAACTAAAATATTTTCAAGATGGCGCCACTTCCGGAAATACCGGAAGTAGCCATCAACTATGTTATTTGAAATAGGGACCCCCTATTTTTTCTACATTTTCGGATTCTACGTCGAACTTGGAGTACAACGATACCCTTTGCTCCAAGGGCTTCGCAGATATTCAAGTTTTTGTGTCAAAAATTGAATTTGCAGGGGTAATTTTAAAAATTTATTATTCGAAAACGGTGAGAGATATTGCAAAACAGTTTTCAATGCTTTATTAAGGAAAGATCGAATTTTCTTATGGTATACGAAATCGTCTAAAAAAGTGGAGTACGTCACTTTTTCAAAGCTCTCAACTTTTAAATTTTTAAATTTCGGTAACTCCATTTTTTTAAATGGCACCCCCCATTTTGTTCTTCACCGTTGTTTTCCTTTTTCCCAGACCTTTAATTTGATACAAAATGTCAAAAGCTGGTTCAAACGGTTTCCGAGATATTCCATGTTTTAGTTACTTCTTGTAGCAAATTGATAAAAAAAATAATTCGCTTGATGCTATTCTTTTGTTTTTATTATGATAATGTTTAAACGTCAAATTTTCGCTGCTTGAACTTATACTTCTCGTCAATAATGGCTTGTTTGGGTTACACGAATGAAAATTTTTTGAATTTAATAACAATACACGGTGAATGTAATCGAATCGCGGCCAGGACTTGCAGTCTTTTTTCCGAAAGATACCCTGACAATGCGCAACTCAGAGGCTACAATTCGCAAATTACTACAAAATTGCAGGAATAACGGTATGTTTCAAACAAAAATACAAAAAAGGAAGCCTCTGAAGAACAAGAAATAACTGTACTGGCGTATTTTGTTGCAAATCCAACTGCATCGCTTAATGATATCCAAAGAGAAATTGACATATCTTCATTAGTGTAACCCAAACGAGCCATTATTGACGAGAAGTATAAGTACAAGCAGCGAAAATTTGACGTTTAAACATTAACATAATAAAAACAAAAGAATAACATCAAGTGACTTAATTTCTGATCAATTTGCCACATGAAGTAACTAAAACATGGAATATCTGGGAAACCATTTGAAGCAGCTTTTGACATTTTGCATCAAATTAAATGTCTGGCAAAAAGGAAAACAAAGGTGAAGAACAAAATGGGGAGTGCCATTTAAAAAAATGGGGTTATGGATATTTAAAAATTTAAAAGTTGAGAGCTTTGAAAAAGTGACGTAGTCTCACTTTTTTAGCGGTTACGCACACCATAAGAAAATTCGATCTTTCCTTAATAAAGCATTTAAAACTGTTTTGCAATATCTCTCACCGTTCAACTATGGGGTATCGTTGTACTCCAAATTCGACGTAGAATCCGAAAATGTAGAAAAAATAGGGGGTCCCTATTTAAAATAACAAAGTTGATTACTACTTCCGGTATTTCCGGAAGTGGCGCCATCTTGAAAATGTTTTAGTTCAATTCATCATGTGCCAAGACCCTTGGTCTTATCAGTTTATTTTCATTTTCAAAGGTTTTCCATATCTTTCTAACTGACGCTCGTCAAGAATGACCCTGTATATTTAAAGAAAAGTATGTGTCCCAAGTTGTACCCAAAGTTGACATCAGGTATGTTGGTATAGAAAACTTCAATTTGTAAAATGTATATTCCACTTGGGACACGCTTATTGTTTTTAAAAATGAAAAGATTTATTTTAATAAAAGGGCAATATAGGTATTGTAAAATATGTAAAATAAAGTTGCGATTCGTCCTTTCCTCTTAATATGGGAAAGAGGCGCATATACAGTACCTAGTTAGTTTTAATGAATGTAATTATTAATATATTAATTGGTATATCATCAAAAACATGACCAGAAGGGGCAAGCAAAAATGATTACACGCAAACGGTACGAGTTACAACTTGGGGCGGTGCACGGTGTCCCAAGTTGTAACTTACTGATCACAATTAATTAAGAATAAAAATTAACAAAGTGCCAAAAAGCTTTTTTTTTAACGTCTGCGCTTTATTTTCTTTAGTTTGTCCGGCAACAAACAAACTGGGAGTCCTATTAAAGATCATTTTCAGAGATTCACACTATACTAAAAACAGAGCTAAAAACTGACAAAAACCACGGGAATAAAACGTAGAATGTATGGCTAAACCGAGAGGTACAGGTTTAGCCTTTGAGTTTCCAAATCAAAAGGCCTGCCTTCCGGTAAACAGCATCGTGTATGGCGACCTAGATTGTAGAAACCATTTCGCGACGCATATGATGCTGAACCAATACTAAACATAACCTCTAAATCTAATCCTGCTGTCACCCCCATGTCTGTCGACTTCTTTCCACAATCATTTGTCTACATTATCCTTTCATTTTACAAAACATTTTTTCAAGGCTACCAATTTGCAACAAATAATTACAAGGTGGGTAAATTATTTTAAATCAGGAAATTCATGTTTTATCGTTTTAGGTTGCTTTTGCAGTAGGTACTATTTCTGTAATGGAAGTAAAGACGGAAACGGAGTCTGGACGTATACGACTTGCTTGTGCATGGAGGATTTTCAAGAGCCATATCCTGAACATATCATTGATTACGAGAAGTTATGCTGCCACATTATTTGTGTAGTTAAGCGATTTGACGATACAGGAAATGCTGCTTGTGGAAAATTCCCTGGTCACATAACAGTTGCTAATGAGGTGGTAGTAGAACATGTGCGTGTTTGTCTTGAACAAAACCCGCAAAACCCACTGCGGCAGCTCTCCCAACAAACTGGTTTGTCATACGGAACTTGTCATCGTCCCGACTTTGAAAAACGTGTAAATGATTGTAATTGGTTTAATGAAACTGTACGAGACGACAACTTATTAGACACATTATTTATCGTACAAGGCTTTGTTTCACCTTAGTGGATAGGTACGTTAATACCAAAAACTACTGAACTTGAAGGGTTGAAAACTCGCATTTATCAGGAAGCTCAGCCTCATCCTCTGAAGGTGGGCGTGTGGGTTAGCGATGTTGAAAAGGCGAATTGTGGAGCAATACTGACACTGCCGAACGTTACTGAGCAAGTGTTTATTGATAAACTTCACGACAACAAATTGGAAGAAGGTTTCTTTCAACATGATAGTGCAAGGTAGCATATCGGTAACAGTTGTGGTCTTATGTCACAATCTCTACTTTGACATGTGTAGCGCTACTAAAAATGGCTGACTGCTCCGTAAAGAGCGTAAAAGTAGCGACGTATCAGTAACTGTTCCACAACAGTGCCCATTGTTATGTTTCAGTAACAAGAGTAGTATTACTGCACAAGTAAGTAGATCTAATACCTACCTACTGAAAATTAATATTGGACCTAAAATTTCCTTCTCTGAATCAAAATTTTATTGCTCACGCCTTATGAGTGGCTATCCAGTACTTATAATAACGAGTGAAATTGCGCAGCACTAGTGGATACTAGCGAACAACTAATGACACATATCTGTCCCAACATTAATACTTTAAGAAAAGGTAGGAAGCCAGACACTAACAATATTTGTTGTATTTGATCCTTACAGGAATGCATTCAGATTCATTTCTTGAGTAAATCATTATTTTCAACAAATAATTTAAAAAGTTGCAGGAAATAAGAACTACTCACATAACTTTTGTACTATTAAAAGAACCCACATGCTAAGCAATATAAACAAGGTAACACTTACCGTTCCTCCATTTAAAATGTCGACGCCATTAGTCTCCTCTATTTCAACTTCTTGCAATGTAAATTGTTGTAAGCCATCATTAAAATGAATACAGGTCTCGGGTATTTTAGCCAGTGAATGGCCAAATGACACAAGCCTCGACATTCTAATAAAAGTTTCTTCTTTAATAGATAGGTGTTTGTTATGGTGAAGTGAATCAACAAACTGATTATTTTGGATATTAACGCCTTTGAGTGCTAATTCTTCAGATAAACATTTTTGTTGGCCTTTATCTTGCTCAGTTAAATATTTCATATCTGATAATCTCTCATGTTGGAAATCAATGTTCAAAAAGTTTAATAATTGAACGATTTGTTTTAACAAAGATCGTGTACTTTTCGCGCAAGATTTTACAATTTCCACATCACCAATGAACCATTCGCTCAAAATTTTAACAGTTGATAATAATTTTTCTTCAGAGACCACATCTAGTACAACATTTGGATCAATCTGTCTAACTTTTCTTGCCAATTCAGTTACCGATTTATTAAAATCCAACTGCTGTGTTATATTCGCGGCATTTTTCTCTTCCACTCTGCCAGATAATTTGTTTGTTAAAATGTCATCTTCGTCTGAATCTGAAGAGCTCATAAGTTCTTTGTCAGAGCCATAGGTAGACGCATCCGAATTTGAATGAATTTCTTCGTCCAAATCGGAAACATCAGATTCGTCACTTGATAATTTCTTTTTTCGTCTTCTACGAATTTTACCTTTTGTCTTGCTTTCTTGAACCTTCGGATACTTAACCCCATTGATTATCTTAGGGTCAGGTTCTTCGGGTATAAAAGGTAATAAGTTTTCACTTAGGTGATCGGTAATTATTTGTAACAGCTGAGAATAAACTGCCAAGGTGAATGCGACAACTGTCGAGATTTGATTGTTGTGCAATTTTTGCACTTTTGATACGCAAAGTAAGCATATTACAACAATTTTAAAAACGGTGTCATCGCTTAAATGTGCTGGGGAAGAAACTGAATCTGCAGTATGTATCGAGTCTGCATCGGTCGGACTTTCCTCACTATCATTTGAAACAGATTTCAAGTATGAAAGGCACTCCTGTAAGTCTACATTGGTTTGATGGCATAGAGTATACACATCTGCAAAATTTTTATTAAAATACCACATCTCTACCAAAAATAGAAATCGTGCAACCAATCGCTTAATGTGGTCGGCCGGTTCTAGTTGTACTATGCAGTCGGCATTTTTGTTTTCAGAAGGAAACTCTTCTAAAGTATGGGAGTTTTTTTCAAATAATCTCAACAAATTGTTTTCCGTTCCGTCAAATATAACTTTACAAGATAAACAACATATATAATGGTAAACCGCATCCAAAACACGATTTTGATTTGATGCTAAAGTACCCATTTGATTATGCGGTATGCCATATTCCGGCTTAAACTCAATGGCTCTCAAATAGCAACGAATGGATAATCCTGGATCCCAAGTTGGATAAATCTCTAATTTATATCTGTTTAAATCTCCTAAATATATCAAGCAACGATGAACAGATTGCTGCGCCCATTCTAATTCGGGCTTGCTCGTGCACGTATTTGACTTCTTCAGAATGTTTTGAAACATCGCAAAATCAACAACATCTTTGACATCCAGTTGAAATTGATATTGTAGGCGTAAAATGAAATGGTGATAATGTCCTACTCCCGCATTAATATGCGTTTCTATGTTCGATATATCTTTCGGAGTGAATTCTTTTTTCTTCAATCTCTTTGCGGCCGATATAACATCGTAATAACACTTCCGCCATAACAACTCTTCCGCTTTTCTTCCAAATAAAGTTGGATCAGAAAATATTAATCGTTCACAATATTCTTGGAATCTGCTGCGTTGGATTTGCAAGGTTGGGGTGAACAGATCTCCCACGTAATGCGCGCAACTGTGAGCATCATCTAAGCGCCTGGCACTTTCGCTGATTGATCTGCACAATAAAGAAAAATTAGTGAGACTCTGATACTTAACATTAGAAGTAAATAGGTGCGTGAAGTTGGAGGTATCACAGGAAGATGTTCAAGGTTGAAGCCATCAACACGCTATAATTTTGTGATCATTTTGTGCCAATTTTTGCCATATTATACATATTTTGTGCTCAAATCGTAACGGATTTTATTTTATAGCATATGTTAAAATGATATTTTAATAGGCTTGAATGAGCCGTTCTTTAACCGTGAGGGTAGATAAAATGAAACAGATGATGGTGCATTCTAATGGCATCTATCATTCTTATTTTTATTTATTTTGACGTTTATTGCCGCCATGGAGATATTCGGGATTATCACGTATATATAAATTCGCGTGGGTCATCCTTAGACCATATAGTGCATGGACTGCTATGCCTATGTTTTCAATACAAAATGTATGATCACAGATAGGGGGCACTGTAGTCGTGGGTATGTGAATCTAAGGATAAACTAAAGTCGTCTAAACAGCACTCGGATCGCGTACAGAGTAGCTTTTATAGTAACCACGTAGTACAGGAAGCTTTTAATACTCTTCATTATCTTCTATACATCCACAAATAAAATGGGTTTGCTTTTTTTGGCATATCTAGGCGATTAATTAATTGACGTTGGTTAATTTATAAGTTGACAGTCTCAAATCGTGTCTCATCGGACAACTTCGGACACACTCGTTTACCCTGAAACTCACATACCCAGGCGATGTCTTTGACCATATTTTAATTACAATTAGCAGTCCATGTACTGTATGGTCTAAGGTAATTACGCTTAAAGTTTCTTTTTATTCATTGAATAGTCCTTCGAATACATTCGTAGTCGAAATATTTCTCGATTATTTTTGAGGTGCTATTCCCTCATGCTAACTAGCATTCGTGACAACACCTCAAAAATTATCGATAATACTTCAGAGTGTTAACCCTATACCATTTTGAAGCACCTCGTCTAGAGGATCATAAAAAACTAAAAAAATACAAGGTGTTCAATTTAAAAAATATGCTCAACATGCCATAACTTGAAATGACGTCCTTCCAAAAAATATCCGTGTACGTCAAAACATGCATAATATAATATCAAACATGATTAATGCTGTAGCTCGCTGATTCCATACTTTTCCGCCACTCTGTATATGATTAGTACCTGTGAACTTGCTAATCATGAACCAAAATTTAAATGCATGTATTGTATGACCAAAAGATGACGATGAATTGCAAATGTATCTTTTAATGTGTTTTTTAAATGTGTCGGTTTGTTTTAATATGTTATACATTTTATAATTTTAGTATTTGTGCTAAGTTTATTGTTTGTATGTATTAGGGAGATGGTGTTGCCACCTACTATAAGGTAAAGCAACAACGAATAAATATATGATATGATATGAAAAGGAACACCAATTATAGAAGATATGTAACAGTAGAAGAAAGATTACTTATAACACTAAGGTTCGAATTATCACTGCAGACATCGATATTTTTCCACTAAACGACGAATCAATATTTAATTTGCATTCATTATAGTCGGTTGCAATTTCGATCGGTCCCGACAAAAATCGGGCCTGTGGACAAACTTCAGTAGAAATGCAGGTGCGCGATCTTTATCAGACGATTCAAATCGCACTGATCTTCGTCGCCCTGATGCGGTGGACATCCAGCCTTAGTGTACAAACAGAGTGGAAGCAGGTTTCTCGCTGTCCGGTATCTCGCGCCGATAGGAGTAGGTTTCTCGCGCTGTGACTGCACACAATAAAAGCGAAGCCGGTGGCGCAGTGGTTGCGTTCCCGACTGCTATTTGGGAGGTTGTGGGTTCGATTATCCCTTATAGAGGTTGTCTCAAACACTGTCCTTATAAGAGCTTCTTTATCCGAAACTCGCGGGAGAAACGGCAGAAAAAACTAAATTTTTATTCCGACAAAAGCGTGGACGCAGGCGTTCACGCTAATTTGAAAACATTACATGATTTCCAAATCGAGAAGCGTGAGTCGCCGCTGGTAACCGGTAAGCGAGAAACCTGCCTCCACTCTGTTCGTACCCTAAGGATGTCAATTCAGATACGGCAATTATAATTGGAAGCAAATAGTTGCGTGTTACAGGTTTTGAAAATTCGGCCAATTAAAAATGTTCATTTAAATTTGCCGGGAATTTTTTGGGAGGAGCTTAACTGCATCTGTTGGGTGAACAGATAATAGTATTCATGGTACAATAAGACAAAGCATGCCTATGCGTGACGTCATTGGGATAACTAGGCTCTACCACTCAATAAAGGAATGGGGTTTGTGTAGCCCTACCAGTTAATCAAAGTGTATCCTCTGTACAGATGTGATAAGATTTGTTCAATCTATGTCAACTGCGTCAATTTAATAATAATAATAATAATCATCTTTATTTTGCTATACCTCATAACAACTAAAACAAAACATTGTTTGGCAACAGACCCATTCTCATGGTTCATAGACCGTCTGAGGAGTTGGTTCTTAAATAAACATAGGTATCCAAAAAAAAAAAAAAAAAAAAAAAAAAAAATGGAAACTGCTACATCACTGTTTTTGCCATATTTAGCAGGTAGCCACTGTTACAATTTAATTGATTTTGTAGAGGATCCGGAATTGGTACGCGGGCGAAAAAAATCAGTTATGTTGCTCGTAGATGAACCAGATTTCTTCGCTTCCTCGCCCGTTATTCTTTTTCTTTTTTTAACCTTCTCTAATTCACCTGCAAAATTTTCAGCATCTTCCGCAGTTTCCCCCTCTCTATATTTTTCACTTGCGACTATTTCTGATACGTGCCTAAATTTTCCATTTATTAAAAGTCCATTTCTTCTTATCTTACACTCCTGTCCACCTCTTTTCAACTTCGCTTGCATCGCTAGGAGTTCTTTTCTCTGTTCTTGAGCTTCCTTGTCATAATCTTCAGAGATATACACTTTCGAACCCTTTAATTTAAAAGCATTGCGCAACACCATTGTTTTACATATATTTGATGTGAAGGAGACAATGGTTGGTCGTATTTTTGTACTTTTTTGCCCTACTCGTCTAATATAGTTTAAATTATCTCGCGTGATCTTTGTTTGTAACACATTATTGAACAGATCTATAACTCCAGTTTCCAACGTGTCATAGTTTTCATCGCTCTCTCTCATTCCGAAGATTACCACATTATTCTGCCTACGTATTTGTTCTATTAATTTTTGTTGTTGGTTAACTGTTTGTTTCAATGCACGATTTTCGCTTTCCAGAAGCTTAAACCGATTATTAGAATCTTCAATATAGGCCGGTATATTGAGAGTATGTATTTCTTTCCTAATAATGTGTTCCATTTCTTCTTTTAGCTCCCGTTTAAAATTATCAAATATTTTACAAAGTTCGGAGGTATCGATTGTCATGTTTGTTTATATGTAATTGATAATGCAAAATATTATATTAGGCGAGTGTAAACAGAATTATCTCAAGAGTGTCCTTGTATGTGTACGTGTCTACGATTCTGGTTTAGCAACAATATTTAGGTAATTTATGGACTATAGTATAAATATTTCCACGTTTTAATATCGAAAAACGTATGCTTTTTACAAATTTCACAATGAATTTAGGTGCTTTATTTGATTTGAAATATGAGTTAGTCGGTTGAAAATAATCAGTAACACAAAAGTTTTAATTGCACAGGTAACCTTTAACAATCTTACGATGTTTACTACACGAGTGTCGCGCCGCAACTCCTATGTCAACTGCGTCAAGTTTCTTACATTAAACTTACAAAGTATCAATTATTGCATGTTATCAATACAAATATTTAAATGTACAATAAAATATGTAAGTAAAAAAAGTAAAAATTATATTTGCGTTTTCAAATAAAGACGAGACCTCTAGCGGCAATAAAAAAAAACTTAAAAGGCTGATTAAATTTGTGAAATAAGTATATTAAGTAGTACGTTTAGCTTCTCTGTTTCCTGACATTTATTTCTAAATGCATTCCGAGATGCATTCAGTATGATTACTCAACCAACAATAAAGAGGTCATCATGATCTGTTGTCACACAAGATTTCCAAGGATTTAAAATGTGTCCAGTGCAATATGTTGCAAACATGGGAAGTCCTCGGGAAGTCATTTCATTGGACCGGTATTCTTCGGTGGAACTTTAACTGCTCACCATTGTTTACAAATTCTCCACACTTCCTTAGAGAATTTTCTAGACAACGTATGTTTCGCAGAAACAGTTGGTTTATGGTACCTATGAACAAGATAGCTGCCCAGGTCACAGTTCACTAATTGTATACATTGTACATTGAAGAATTGTAGCTACTCCTAATAATAATAATAACGTACAAAAGCACGGCATGTTCTAAAGGCATGTCATAGCATCAATGGTAATAGATACGTTGCGTAAAGTAAACTGTCTTGAAATGTTTCACTAATAATGGCCGGTATTATTGTGTCCGTCCGTTGACACGATATCCCGATAACGAATGGACCGATTACGAAGAAATTTTGTAGGTGGATTCTTTATCAATTTGTAGACCGTAGTTCGTGAATTGGCAATGTAGTCCACAAAATAAGGAAGGCCCTTTTGACATCTCTGTGAGTTATGAACCGAATTGCATCAAATTCAATATGCGTATAGCTTTAGCCATATGAAACGCAATTCCAAAAGTTGAGCCTAATCAATTTTTGTTTTTATATTTGTTTACACGTTTATTATATATCCTATTATTTCATATTTTACAAAATTTTGAAGAAATGATTTTTCTACCGCTAGTCTTTTTTTTATTGGTTGATAGCGGTTGCCATGAATACAATAAAAAGAACAAAATCTCCACGAATCCATGGCCTACTATTTAAGAACAGTAAAAAATGTTTAAAATTTTTGGTTCATGATTAAAATTTAAAAAATATAGGTTGTGATACATCCAATGTAATCAGGAATACAAAAAAAAATTCACGTTAAGATGGTGTTGCATTTAGAAATACCAACTTTGGGCCAAATCCCAGAAACGGTGGTCCAAAAATTTATTTCTACTAATGCCATTGGATTCTACGTAAAAATCTCTAAAATGGAAAGTTTTTACCTTTTTTCTTACATGGGTAGTAAGATATGATAATATCCCAAAAGTTTGTTTTCACCCTGTATCTCAGAAATAAACGAAGCTAGATTGATTCTGTTTGTGGTATTCAAAGTTTCACAAAAATGGCACACGGTCGCGAAAACCGCAATACTTTAATTTGAAAAACAGCTGAGATACACCGCAGTCTAAAAAAAATAGGATGCACAGTTACTTTTTATATTGCCTATGACCCGATGCCCTCGATATTATCTTAAGGTTCATCTTTCGACACCCAAACCAAGTCGATTAGGCCCATCAGTCTAACGTTGTTTCTCCTAAAACTAATGAGGAACCTTATTGAAGAGCTGGAGTTAGAAATTCGGCACAGAACCATTCCACGAGCTAGGTTTTAAAAGTTGCGAACTTTATCCTCAAAAATTACTATTATTATTAAAATTAATTTAATTAAATTATTAAAAATAAGCCAAAATCGAGGCCAAAAGTTATATTTTGAAATTTTAATTTTCAATTGATTGTTGATTAATTGTTCTAGAGTTCTAAACCACAGGTTCAAAAATGAATTTGGAGAATCTCGGTTTTTATCAATAGAAGTGGTTTTGAAGACGATAAATTGTTTTTTTTCCTGTTGTCTGTTTCATTTGAACCGTAGAATCGTAAATTTCCAAAATATTAATGTGGGCGTCACCTAATCTTCTTAACGACACCTTGTATATACAGTTGTTAATGCAATGCAACTAATATTGCATAATATTGTGTAATATCCTGGTATTAGTCTATGGTATTACTCCACTGGTAATAGTGAGAAATGGTGTGTGTTATATAAGCAATAATGAGAAATATTGTGTATTCCTCGAGTAATACTAATGTTGGTGTTACATGAGTAAGATGGAATAATGTGCGTTTTTTCCCTAAATTTGATTCGAAATATTTTTTTAAGGTCTTCAGTAATTTTGATTTATAGCAACATCTTGTTTTGTTATTGCATTTTGCGTAGCGTGTAGGTAACTATGTTTCATATCATTACACAAATGGTATTTCTGTTAAATAAATAAATAAATACATAGTAGTAATATAGGGTTATGACTTATGAGTGATGGTGTACATGTTTGAACCAAGCAACCCTTATTCCCCTTTATCCCTGGAATTGAATGTAAGAAATTATTAAATTATTCTAAAAATTATGTGTAGGGACAATCTCCGGGCTATATGAATATCATTATGTGTGCAATTCTAGAGAACTTGATTATAAAATGAAATCTTCTGATTGAAATAGATTAAATAGGTGCAATTATCAGTATGCAATGAAATATTAAACTTAAAAATACGTGAAAAAGAAAACTCTACCCGTGACTACTCTTCCTATGATGCAGGTGAAATGCTTCTTTGCACTGCCGATTCTAAATTAAAAATGATCTTTCGTTTTCATTTTTATGATCTGATTTTATTTCAAAAATTCAAAACATACTATTACTTGTTATTGCATTGATGTATAGCTTTATTTATACATACAAGGAATTTTTCTTAAAAGTATACATATGAGCTATGATATTATTATATTATTATTTGAACTACAAGTTTAATGGCTCCGAACAATAAAGTGGCAATTGTACTTCCTTACTGTGACGTGTGGAAATATTTACTTTATAAACACCGCCAATAAATATTATTATTATTATTAAATATCCCAATTTGATGCTAATAATAAAAATAAAGACTATGAGCTAACAGTAATTTGACCTCGAATTTGACAAGGTACTGTTTCCATAGCAGATGCAGATTATCGTTTAAAATAAATTCGTGTAGAGTTGGTTGCCTATTATAGCCACCTATTCCATGCATTTGATCCGATTTTTACATTCCGACTACATACAAAGTGTGTATAAAGGAAAGTATTGTAATAGTGATCAATTTTCAACTCGATTTTCAATAAGCCAATAATGCGTTTTCTGGACGTTTTGAAGCACATAGACCATTATACCATGCATAGACCCCAAAAAGGGTCTTTAGCTTGACGTCTGTATGTGGGTCGGTGAGTGTCTCGGTGTGTGTATGTGGTTCGTTTTTTGGGATGCATATAGGGTGGTATGGGGAATCGAAAACGTCCTATTTTGGTTTTGATCCGTAACGATCTACATGGTTGGTGAGGGTGTGAAAAGTTTAAAAGAGCCATAACGGCTTGAAAAATTCTTTTTTGCATACACTGACAAAAATGACTTAAAAAACTCCAAAGTTCAATTTTTTTCTGAGTTCCTTTGTTTTTAAGAAGTTTTGAATTGAAAAGTTACTTAAACTATATATTTTATTTTTCCGAATTTGCATTTTTCTCTAAAAGTAAGCCTCAGAGGGAAAAATTTTAATTACAGAAAAGATGGGTCTTGACGAGATCTACAAAAAAGGCTTGTACACTTTTTGCGTCGGGTTCAAAATAAAGGCGCGAGAGGGCATTTTCTTAATGTTATACTATGACCAAAGATAATTGCAATGACTCTATTAAAAGTAGTCGGAAAGTCGGAGTTTATCAGACAACTAGTTTAAAGTATAGCCCATATGTAGGTATACATTTAAGATAAAATTTCCTGTAAAATTTCTTGAGCAATCTGATGATCAACAGGATTAAAAACACAACAGAAATCAGAATATGTAACGACATGGCACAAAACAAAACGAGATTTCCCAAAGGTGGTACTTCGCTGGGTCAGCTAGTAATCTAGTATAATTTCTGGAGAAAGAGGAAAGGGATTTAAATCTGCTTCACCCACCAATACAGCCACGAGCCACCACTGCCAGCTACAAGATTATAATCACACTAAAACTTTCCAACCAAACCAATCATCAACCTAATGCTTAATAGATTAATATTCGGATTAATAACAATAAAAGATACAGTTCAATAAACACCCTGCAACAGTGGACTTAGGGGAAAGGCCAAAAATTTCCCAGGCACAGCAATGATTCTTTGTTGGACATACTTAATCGCATTCTTTTAGAGTAGACCTTATCTCGTTTTAAAAAACGGGTAGTTCTATATGTTTGATTATTGCGTAACGTGACAAGCAAACATAACAAAGCCCAACACAGCCCAAAAACTTAAACCTCAAAAGCGAAAAGTGTGTTTACGATGTGATTGTTTTAGGTTATGAATAGCATGATTTTTAAAGGACGGAACAAAAAAACGGTTTCCCTTACTCCTACTTGCATTGGATAACAATTAATGAAACTTACCGATAAAGTTTTTTAGACTGCTCCTGTCCATCCTGATGGTTATCATTAGAATTACTTTTCTTCATTTCATCTTATTTTGCATTCATCCCGGTCAAGAATTAAACAAATCCTCATTTGAATATACAAATTTCAAACACCATTTGGTTTTATACGTCATTTTCACACCATTATCAATTTCAATGTCGTATTTGGAAACCATTACAAAAATCTTATCACAACGTCATTTATTTTTCACTCAAAGTACTGCGCATGACGGAAGTAATGATAGATCACGTGCTACCCATGCAAATGATTAGACGCATTCAACCAGTCGAAGACTCGGTAGAAGCGTGTTGCTGTTGAGTGAACGGTAGAAGCATAGACGTAATACTCATATGTCTATGGGTAAAAGCATTGTACAAATACATATACAATGGTAGAAGGTAGATAGGCTAACGACCCAATACTTTCACCCCACAAATTAAACTGCGATTAACCAATCATTACTTTTTAATTAAGATAATTAATAATGGTCATTAGCAAACTTTCCAAGCTTTCTGCATTTATTAAGGCTAAAAAAATTGGAATTAGGTGGGCGTAGGTAGGTACTAGAAAAAGTAATAATTTTATGGATGTTTATAATTTCCAAAAAATTAAGGTCTAATATCGAGCGTTCACAATTGTTCTGGTCAGATCGCCTCCTCGCCTGTGTGTTTGGCGCTTTCTAACTTGCACATACTTTTGGAATTTACTGTGCGTTTTTGTTAACTAAAATTGTTTTTTTTTCAAAATTGTAGTAACTGTTTTCGTTGTGTCTTTGTTCACAGGCAGAGCCGTAGCGAAAGCATCAATTTCAATTTAATTCTTTCCCTTTGGCATACGGTACACATTGAACTATATACTCTGTAACATATAGTTCAATGACGGTACATAAGACTTATTAGGACGCGTCATACATAAAAATCATTAAACTCACGTGACACAACATATGATACCTAAGTTAAAATTATTTAAATGGGTATCACAGGTTCTTACATTAAACATTCACGTAATAATATAAAAGAGTTAAAATATCACAGGTTTTTACAATCATCAACGTATATTCGTTGATGGTGTACATAGTAACATTTTGTTTGTTTTCCTGCTGAACTGTTGGGCCGTTGAAGGTTTGTCTATTTACATAAATGTAGTTATATACAGCAGTGAATGCACAGGGTGAGTCAATGATTGCGCGGAGTATATTCCAACTATTTTTAAAATGTGGAGAATATTCAACTATATCATAATACAAAAGCACTCTATCGACAAATACCTTCAAGGCATTAAGTTACTCCGTGCAATCGTTGACTCACCCTGTACAGTAGCGTGATAAACACTCAACCATTGAATTACTCAACACTGATTTTTGGGTTAAGTTCTTTAACGTCATAATAGGCAATGAAGGGTCAAGGGGGGGATGTCAAAGATGCATACTTGCACCATATATATAAGAGAAGTATATGGATAAACGAGTGGACACGCCTATCGCCAACGTTAGTGGATGGAAATATACTTCTGTCATTAGTTGGGAACTAGGCGCTAATGCGCTTGCCTGTTATTATCACAGCCGTCTATAATTACAAGCCGTGCTGAGAATTATGGCAACACTGCATGGTAGGCCGATTTCCTAATTCAACTTGACAGATTTTGAGTGTATTTTATATGTGTTTTGGGTGTAATATTCCAATTTACCTGTTTTAACAGAGCGAAATTGCGACAATTTGTGTTACTCCCTACGGAATGAACAGAAATTATTATTCAGGTAAGTTGCTAAACGAAATATATCGATTTGTTGTCATAACCTCTATAGCAGGCTACTCCTTACTGGACCCTTTAGAAGCACTTTTATTTGTTCAAAATACCTGTAAGAAGCTCAAATATGACCTACACACTACCTGGTACGTAAGTACGGTAAGTGTTTATCGTGAGAAAATACAATTAGTTTGTATTTCAGGTATTCTAGCACGGACATTTCAAATCGATTTTCTGAAGGAACCTTTCAACTTATTCCCAAGAGTTCATGGTACGAGAATTTGAAGTCTACGGGGCACCCCTCTTTAAAAGCTTCGTACCTAGACCCACTGGGGTAGCGACTGGCTTAAAGTCTGCCATTCCGAATCACATCCTGGTCGTTGATATAACCTCGCCGAGGCACAGCGATTTACTGTCCTTTTACCGAAATTATAAGTGCTCAAGCAAGTGATTCAACTCGACCTCTTTCGACAGAAGTTCACCAATTTCGGAGATCTCGATGGAAAACGCATTATGATGCAGTTACCATTTTACCAATTAATAGCGTTCCGAATTTTAACGTCAAATAAAAATGTTATTATCTATTTTTGTAAATAAAAAAAATATATGTACAATTGTAAGCTGCCTAAGTATCTTTCTTCTGTATTAAAACCACCAAGGCGAAATACAGGAGAGAGGAAAATGCAATTTTACAAGAGCAACAAGACGCCATTAAAACTTATATCGGCCCACCGATTGACTATCGGACAACGTTGCCAAACTTCTCAGCATGGCTTGTAATTATAGCCGGCTGTGTTGTTGTTTTTTTAATCTTTGGCGGTAGATAGCGCCTTACCGAAGCACTTTTGGATAGAGGTAAGTTGGGTTAAATCGTCCTATTTTGATACCAAGAACCCATGGTAGCGCGTTGTACAGACCTTTTAGGGACACCCTGTATATGACTTGCACCATTGAACTAGGTATAATACTAATAGGTACTATTTTTGACTCAACGACTTGAATAAACAACGAGTATATTGTATCACTTGCCTTCGTAAATGTCTTTAGAAATGCACGGTACTGACTAATTGTGATTGATTTGGCTCTTGTTATAGGCGCCCCACATTTTCGCCAAGCGAAAAAGTATAGACCCTTGTTTATTTGAGTACATACATACAGAAACCCAAATGTGTGATTGTACTATATAAATTAGTCCTCCGCTACACAAAGCTCTCCGTCCTCGCTCAAATTATACAAAACACCACCCACGCGCACCACTTCAAAACAACACGGCCGCCGTAGCCTTCACGGGCCCCGGGAATATTTTTTACCGAGGCCCGTATAATTGAAAGTTTTTTGTCCATCACTCTTATCTTAAACTATTTATAGACATTTTCATTCTTCACTTCTTAGATTTGAAAGAAGAACATTTGAATAATTTTGATACAGACACAGCCATTTTTATAATTTATTAGGAATTCTTAAGGCGGGACTCCACCAAACTGCGCTGGTCTAGGTTTTTGCCGAATGCCGAAGAAAAATTAGAAATAAACATTCGTTTGAGGCCGCTCGCTATCATCGGCCGCCGCCGCCATAATGTTGCTTATTGCTAGCAGCAAATGTCGGTAAATATCAAAGGGATTTCAGGTTTCAGTCTGCGACGCGGGCAGGCTCTGTCTGAACCAGTTCAAACGTGTGTCAGTTATAAATAAATCACCGTATTTATGTTTTCAGTTTTGCGCATTTGTGTCGACCGGTACTAAGGTTTACGTGGTATATTTGTATTTTGTTTGCTTTTTTCCGAAATTTGAGTTTGTATTTTGTTTTTCACAACGAAGATTTTATATAAACTAGGCCGTACCTAAAACGTAAAAAAAAAGTCCGTGGCAAAGCCGCAGCAAGCCTTGGCATGTTGTGTCGGCGGCAAAACCGGAGATGCCACCGGACTAGGCCAGTTTTAAATTTTGTGCAAATAGTTAGCCCTCGTGGGGATCTAGAACCCTATTGTTTTTGGTAAAAATCGAAACACACGTTTCCGCGATTTTTCCGAGTACCATATTTATTAAAGGACACAATTTGGAAGTTATCGAGTTGCAAAATTTCAGGGTGGTTAGGTATTGCTGATTTCTGGAACTCTATTATTGGTCAGTGTGAGCGAACATTAAATTCAGCATGTACAGGGTGTTTCCTAAAAATGTAAGTTTTATTGATTACATAATAAAAAGTGCTGCCATAACGGGGTAATAAATATTAACCCTGGCAGGCGCTTGTCGTTTTTTTACAGTTTTAGCTTTGGTACAAGCGCTCACATTTTAAAAAGTACTATACGATCCAAAAATGAGTTGCTGTCGAGCCACCTTTGGAATTTTTGTTTACATGAAAAATGATACTTAACTTGAACTTCCAGAGGTAACTCGACAGCAACTCATTTTTGATCTTCCGTTATAAGCGCTTGTTTAAGCTCCCTTTATTGGGCAAAAAAATAAAAGCCTTTTATTCACCGTTGGATTTTCGGATGAGGTCCCTGGACCGCGAAAATGAGATTTTTAAATATATCTGTATGTATGTGAGTGCGTGATATTTGTTACGGGGTTTTTTGGGCAGTCGGTCCTATTTCGATCGTTATTTTATAATGCAGCACGATTGTTTTGATTTTTTTTTATGTTTTGATTACCTACTTAACTTATTCCAAAGTGCGACCCAGATAGAGTTTTCATGTTAGTTTTTTTAATTTGCACCTACCCAAGAATTGTCAGGTAGGTATGTGTTAATTAAAATTCTTTGGAATTATCTGGGTTGATTCGTTTAGAGCTAGGTCAACAGGTTTTTTGTGGGTGGCTTAGTGAGCGTTTGTCATTGCACACAGCAACAATATAAGAATTTCTGAATTTGAAATGTTACAGGCTTTCACTTAAGAGATTTTGACTAAACTTTCGCCTTCAAAATCTAAACACCACTTCCTCTGGTAACAGAGTATCTTGATTTTAGCCATATTTGGTTTGAAGCTGCGAGACAGCTTGAGTTTATGGCATACACTGGGCATACACAAGTAGGCGAAATTTAATTCCTGAGGGAGTTTCCTTCTAAAGACTAAAAAAACAAATTATTCTTTATTGTATTGAACAACCTAGTTAACATATTTTTTGCGCTATCAACTATTTGGCTTAACAGGATTAAAAAATATATGTAAATGGGAACAAAAGTTAATAAGGGTTACAATTTATTTTGAAATTGTAAATTCCCTTTTAATACTTAAAAGAATGACTAGTTTAAATAACCCTTAGTTTTATGCATCGACCTCTTAAGAGAGAAAGTTTAATTTTAAAATGAAAATTACATATTTTTAATGCACAACTGGGTGGTACAGCATTATTTCAAAAGTACCCATAATTTTGATAGGTACCTATATAAATATTTTAATATGTTGTTCCCATTTCTTAAAATTTACTTAACATACAACATGTAAATAAAATATATAGAAAACTACAAACAAAAATATAAACACTCAAGAACTGTTAGTATTTGCAGAAAGAAATTTGCTCGCAAGTGTTCCCTCAACTTAATATCCAATTAGACGAAAAACTTGCACTTTGCTGCTAATACTATCTACAATGATTTCTCATGCGTCTCATTGCTACAAGTTTTAGTAAATTACAGATTCAACCAACTGCTTTCATGTGCAATTGATGCAAATATTTGTGTTCTATATATTATGTACAATTAATTATATGAATTTTAGTATATGTATATAAGAATTTCGATAACTTAGAATGCAGGTATGAATATTTAGCATGACAGAATTCGATCACTAACCATTTGACTATATTAACATTCACACTACTGACTACATATATGTACGTCACATCTTATGTAGAGTAATTAAGTAGGTACATTTGGCATGTATTATGTTAAGTTTGAAGGAAGACAAAATAATTTTAATCATAAAAGCAGTGCTACGTCTAAATGGCAATTATAATACGTGAAATTAGTCTAATCGCAGTAACCGTAGAGAGCACAATGAAACATTCAGTGTTTAGCTTATTGTCTTCCAATACTTGCAAAGGGATCAAATTTTAGAATGTATATACAAATAATGTTTTATAATGTTGAATCTATTATGAATTCTATTTTAAGGATCTCATTGGTTAAGCGTATTTTCAAGAAAATTCAATGAAATATTCAAAATTAGTACTCAGTATTTTCAAACACTACATATACACTAATGGATGGTGTTAAGAAACCCTATATTGTTTCACCTGCAAAAAAGATAACTACCATGCATTTGGGCATAAACCTCTTTAAATAATTTATTCTTGGAAAAAAACATTTTTGCAACATGCCAGAGCAACAAATTCATCTTTTTGCTATACTGAAATAAATAATGTGCATACAAAGGAGTAATGAGTAGACAAATTGAAACTTATTTTAGAATTACTATCACAATAAATAATTATGTGCGTTTAGTTAAAATATTTAGTTCTCCATAAACTCAGTTCAAAGCCTGAAGCTGAAAAACAATTACAAATTTTAATTTTGTTTATAATTCTGAGAAAAATTAGAAGTGACAATACAGAAAGTGTACTGTTACCCCAAAAGAATAGATCACCAACTTTTGTATGATGCATATATGAACTGAACATGTTGCTTGCATGATTACTTTTTTCTTAAAGAATGATATCGGAAATTGTGGCTTGTCAAATATAACTTTTGAATGCAAATATTTAAACCTGGATTTGTGATTCCAGATATTATGTACGCGATTTTACACTGAAACCGAATTGATTTTGAGGGTACTGTTTCCCTATAAGTAATTAAGCTTTGCACACAATAACAAATATTAAATAGTTATGGCACAATTTGAAATAAGTCATAAATGACCACATGTTACATCAGATGAAGGACATTATTCTTGTGCATATTTCTCAAGTGCAGCTATAGTCCGTTTGTACAGCTTTCCCTCATATGGGATTAACAGACCCAATTTTCATTTAATTTGGCGTTTATTTCACGTCGACAACTTTGGATAATTCCTCTTTTAAGTAAAGCGAAATACCACACTGACAACGTAAGTGAAAAATTAGAAATTCCAAGACAAAATCATTGTAAACATTCTGGTTTGTGTTTACACTTAAAACGTGTTTAGAGCATACACCGCCTTGCCAATGTAGTGGATCAACAGTTCTCACACATTTCTTTCCTTTACATACCTATGTCTAATGAACAAAAATTTAATATGTAATTGCTCAGCAAAACATACGGTATAAAGTGAAATCATAGTGTAAAATATAATTATTTCAATCTTCAACAGATGTTGTTCATTACAGATAGGTACGTAAATGGAAGGAAGGATTCAGAATCTCCGACGCACTAAATTAGCAAGGCTGATGTAATGATAAAACGTGTTTTAAGTTAAATTGAAACTGAAAGAAAGTTAAGGTGGTTTAATACCTTATGGGACTAGCTAAGCAAATGGACTATATAAAATGAAATTCGACATTCATCTGAATACCAATTTTTTTTAATGTAGAAAACTATTGCATTAATAGTACTAATCAAATATTAGGTGTGCTCACTTAAGACTTCTTTTTTATACTTATGTGTTACAGTTATGGCACACAGTGATGCTGAGCATTATAACTTGATATGAAGCTAACTATAGCAAATTATGCTACAAAAGTACTAAAAACCATGTATGATGCGGCGTATTATTTAAAAAATACTAAATCCTGACAAATTATTTTAAGTAGATAATGTATAGTCAACTGATTCAACACATAAAGAATGTCTTAAATGGCCACAGTGTACAATCTACTGATTTAATGATTATTAATATTTATTATTCAATGGTATAGCAGCATGGAATATAAGGTGATTTCATATTACTTCAATAGCACGCACTAAAATAATATTTTTTACACTATGTATGAAGATGGCCTATAAATATAAAAGCGAATTAAAGAAACTGTCCAAATAACGTTAACAAATGTACAATGTTTCATCACAAATACGTAAGGTACAGGGAAATGTATTAAAGCAACAGCATTACACACTTTTTTCTTTTGTTACAAACTTATTCTAGGAGCTATAATTTAAGTTTTAAATTTACTATGTTTATGGGTATTCTATGTTATACAAAGAATATGTGCCTTATATAAATAACAGTATTAAATTAAATATAAGTTAAAACTATCCCCAGGCAGAATAGAATATCACAATTTGCAATAAGTACAAGAACCTACAGCATAGATAGAAAAATGTACTATGTTACAAACAAGTAGCCATACCTGCAATTCATTATTATATATTATATTCATCAGAATGTTAACAATGCCTTGCATAAGTTATATTACCTTGCATAATAAAGAAATCAATACTGCACCCTGTACTTCATATGTAAGAAAAAGAAACGAACGTGCCACAGTTTCACTATTACTATAGCAAAGTTCTTGAGGAATTTTACAACATGATATGTGCTATTTAGGTGTAAGTATAAACGTATAAATCTGTTGTAAACAAGACAAGTATGGCTTTGTAACACAGTACTATATATATACAGCACTTAAGATGCTATTTATTGACTACATTCCTATTATACGTCGGTATGAAATCTGTACAATAATAGGTAACAAATAAACAGTTCACAGCTGATACCACTTTTTATCTCTATATTTAAACATTAACTCGTGGGCAGACTGCGAAAAGTTCTCCGCTTCGTTCTTCATACGCTCAGCACGTTCTTCTAATTGATTAAGCTTTTCGCCTCTTTCTAAAGCTAGTTTATGAGCTCTACTTATTTCACCAGCTGCGGTTCCGGCACGTCCACCAAGTTCTTGCAAACTTCCAGGTATGTGCTTTGCTACTGATTTGTTCGCTTTCCCACTGGATTCTCCAACTAGAAAATGTTTGCGTATTTCAATTACTTAGCTCCATATATAGTTTTCACAAGGTGTATGGTCAGAATAGACATCTTATGTCATATGATGATGATTATTGGTACCTATTTTACATACTATGTTTCCTATGGTTACTGTCAAAACAAATTTCTTACACTTATACCTTATACCTATACCTACTGCATATAAAAGAGTTAAGAGTTACACTTACATAATTCTTCTCTATCCAATGATCTTAGGCCACCTCCAAATAACCCCTTAAAGAAGCTTTCCTTGGGTGGTTCTGGCATATCCAATGGAAGAAACAGTTCTCCCATCATTTCCGGAATGTTGGAGCTACAAAACCATAGTGTTAATATATAAGATATATTCTAGTTTGCCTAATGATTTTATAGAACTACTAGTCAGCGGTGGTACACTGTGATAATGGAACTTTACTACATCTACAAACATATAAGTGTAGAGTGGTAAATATTATAATAAAAAAATTATTACTATCATTGTAGTTGGTTAGGTTTAGTAGTTTGGTTTTTTTTAGAACGGGAAGAATTGAAGTAGACAACATAAGCCTTGAAAAAATGTAAAGGAAAAGTAGCTACTTACACAGGTATAAAACAAGACACCTATTTGAAGAAGCACAGAATGATTCCAGAAACATACAAAAAGTGCTTCGATTGGTAGCTACCGAAAGTCACAAAATTTGTGTCTCAGCAGGATAGCGTATAAGTGGACCAAAATAATGGCAGTATATATACTCTTTGACTATCAATATATCAATCAAATCACACAGATTAAATTGACTTCTTTCAAGATATTGAATTATTAGTTACCTATAAAGGCTACCCACTACATATGATTCAAATTCGAGGGTCACCATATGGGGATTTCAGGAACTGTAAGAGATAGGTACGTAGTTTAAATTTGGCAAAGTTGCGTATTTTGATGGTTAACAAAATGCCGTTTTGAAACAGAATAAATTCCAACTACTTTCGGAGATATCCGGAAAAACAGAAATTTAGCAAAATCGTTTTTATTTTTTACTGCAGTTATTTAAAAAGATATTTCTAAATAAATGATACATTATTTTGGCTACTTTTGTCCCTCTACAAGATGCTACTTTTAAATTTTAAGTTTGACGTTTAGTCTCCAGTAAACCATCTTAACTTTATTTTTTCTTGTGGAAGTAATTTTTACTTTTTGTGTCATTTGATAGAGAATTTCAAAAATGTAAACATCACTATCTTTTAATATGAAATAGCGCTATTAATTCGTACAAACGCAAGAAACTACGTATCTACACTACCCAAGACAAAGTTTTCTAGGCAAAAAACAAGATAAACAATATTAAAAAATTATGCTGTTTACATTTTTGAATTCAGAAAAAATTCTCTATCAAATGACTCAAAAAATAAAAATTACTTCCATAAGAAAAAACAAAGTTGATGATGGTCAACCGGAGACGAAACGTCAGATTTAAAATTTAAAACTAGTATCTTGTAGGGGGAAAGAGTGGCCATAATAATGCGTTATTTATTTCCAAATACCTTTTAAAATAACTTCAGTAAAGAATAAAAGCGATTTTGCAAAATTTCAGTTTTTTTCCGGATATCTCCAAAAGTAGTCGGAATTGTTTCAGTTTCAAAACTGCATTTTGTTGAGCATCAAAATACGGAACTTTGCCAAATTTAAACTATCTACCTATCTCTTACAGTTCCCGAGATCCCCATGGTGGCCCTCTAATTTGAATCAGCCTGTATAACTTATCATACTATAACCGTAATAGGAACGTGCCAGGTAGTTCTGTCATTTTATAAGTTTTAAACCCCAATCTGCGGAAAAATTAATTTTTGTATACACCTTTATTCCGGCATTTTTCTACAAAAAATGACTCCTGCATTTTCTGTAAGATCAACCGTTCTTTAAAGTAGAGGGCTGAGAAAGCTACTAGAATACATTCATTACGGTATCGTGTACCGTACACCAAGGCGTAAACTCTATTGCTTTTTATTCATGTTTTTAAGTAGGTATATTAAAATTAAACACCAGATTTAAACATTTCTGCAGAAAAATTTCAACAACTTCATTACCTAAACATCCAAATTTTATATCACTTACTGATGCAACTAAAATTGCTCGACTAAATAGATGTAGATCGTTAGGTGTTAGAGCTAGAGAGGTATTAAACTATCTCCAACTGGATAACGTTGACTTTACGAATATGTCATCTATTGCACGACGTGAACTTGTGAAGACGAAAATTTATGAGCGGTGGAGTGAACAGTGGTCGGAGACTGATACGGCTTTGAAGAAGATCAAACAGAGTCTGGATCCGCTATTTTATATCGACGTTGGGCGTTTGAACTTGATCAGGCTGTACAGACTCCGGCTGGGGCATACTGCCCTCACTCATGGATATTTGTTGGCGGGCGAAGAACGGCCACTATGCGAACAATGTGGTGTTATTCTAACACCACATCATATTATTTCTGTCTGTCCGCAGTACACAGATGTACGTGTGCTCTTTAATATCGACCCTGCATGGGAAAATAACTTTAAAAACAAAGAGCAATGTAAAAATACTCTTGCCTTCACCCAAAGAATTGGTATAGCAAATGATCTGTGATATTTTTAAATTGTTGGTTTTGTATGTTAATAAATGTAACTAGATCCGTTTCTGTCCCATTGTACTTATATAGTCATCTTTTTCTGTGTAAAAGTATGTATAAAGGCGAATGGCCCTAGAAGCCGAAGCCTCAGGTGGGGTTTTAGTGGGTGAGAGTCCCACACTACTCCGGACTTTTCCATCCGGAGTGTGCATAATGCATTTCCCCACCTGACAAAAAAAAAAAAAAAAAAAAAAAAAAAAAAAACTTCATTACCACCAGCACCCGATGATCTACTAAAAGACTCGACTAAAGACAATCATTTGTAATTGAGCAAAAGGTTATGGCGGCAAATGTGGATGCAATAAAATTAGTTAGAAATGCTCTAAAGTTTGTGGACAAAAATAATACAAATACTTTGTAAAGTGATAATTAATAATGCTGACAATCTTACAAACTGTACATACCAAAAATCACTGCACAACGTAAACTTCTGCAATTCCGATGGTGAACAGAGGTAGAGGCCATGACCCTTGTTGCTGAAGCAGAATGTCCGGCTGATCCTTTAATAATTACATAATCATTATTAAAAAGAGTGTATCACTATTAAACAATCAAATATTGATCAATTAAATGGAAAACATTTCGTAAAATAATACTCGACTTGCGAATTTTATTGCTTTTAGTAAATACCATGTAAATACTTATTTTCTAATGTAGCCATGTTGTCTTGTCACATGGTTGTTAAGTAGGTAGAGTAGAACTATAATATGTGCTAGTAAATACAATAGGTACGTAAGAGAAACACATAAATGCAAAAAGTGAAAGAATATTCTAATATTGCAATTTACCACAAATGCTACTAATTAAGTATTTCTTTAAATAAAGCAGGCTTTCCACGTGCATTCATTTCATCAAACTTGAAGTGTACACTCCTGCAAACAGACCAGGTTTGAACGTGGAAGGGGTCATCGCGCAAAGTTTGCATCGTTCTTGGTGCGGAGCGAAGAGTTTTGCCAATCTTGAATTCTTGGCGCGGAGCGATGTTGGGCGCGCGCGTGGATGTAGTTGTCGCTCCTGGAGATAAGACATAAGTGAGATAGTTTTACGCATTGTAGTATGTGAGGAACCGAAAACGCATATCGTTGTTTTCGCGTGCACAATCGTACCGACCGCTACAATTTTGCAGAGTTGAACTCAGACCCAACATGTCGCAAGAGTTTGTGAGCGAATCTTTTTTAATCGACTTTTTTTATCAAACTTAGTCAGTATTTGAAGACATTCAATAATAATTGACATAATCCGAAGAACCGTTGTTTATTTCCATTAATAGTCACAAATGAGGGAATTCGTACCTTTTCAAGTACCACGTTTCTTTTTTCTCATTTTCAGGTTTCTTTCTTCTGTTCGACATCCTTTGGCTTCGAAAAGTAAATCAAAACTAATCATTCTGCGCCTGTATTTGCTCACCAAGTTTGTACGAACCATGTGCAAACATAGAAGTGGTGTTTCAACATTTTGTTCCAAGTTCAAAGACATGGCGTTAATTCATAGTTCGATGAAATGAATGTGAAAGGCCTGCTTAATATATATGGCGTTTGTATGTACACTTGGAAATTTTCATGCAAGTATTGTATTATAATGTAAAGAAGTTTGGGTATGTTTTAAGTTATTTTGAATCACATAAATGTTAAGAAAATGCGAGGCGATACTAAATGTATCTATGGAAATATTGGCACAGCAACCAAAATACTTTGCATGGTTAAGTTAAATTCATTTGTTGTTTAACTCCAAAATAATAAATATGCTTAAAACAATTAATTATGATCATTATTAGGATAATAAAGCTATATAGGTATGTAAAGATATGCTCAGTACAATTATCATAAAAAAAGATTTCTTTTCTAATGTACGTGTTAAATTTAGTAAATGTTATGTACATGTGATGCACTTGATGGGTTGAAAGCTATGTTGTATATACAATGTCATATGTATGACATGTCCAATACCTACCTATAAAAGTTCAACTAAGACTGATATAGGTACTAATTAATTTAAGAAACAAATTTCAATTCAACGCATAATCTGAAACTTTTCTGTCTGCAGGGACGAAATTCATACCTTGATATTTCTGCTCATTAATGTTTGAGGGAATACCAAAACTCGTCTTAATTTTGAATACTATTGTTCCACTGTCACTCCTAATTAGATCAATTTTACCAAAATTTCACAATAAATATTTCTGTATGGTTAAGTTTTGGGTAACTGAAATGATTTTAGGCAATAATTTTTCTTGCTGTCTAACAGTCTCTAACAAGTGGTTTGGATTTATTCTTACTGAGCGGTTGCTACCATGAGCGCCTAAATATTTCTCCTTTTTTAATTTTCATGTTAGGTTTTCTTTTATAGTGTCAAAATTCTTCTGTAATAAACATTTTTCGAACCTACTCAAAGGTAATGATCTGTACTGCTAATTAGTACAGTCATTGCAGTTTCAACTTAGAAAAATGGGTATAATTACACAAGAAAATCATTTAACATGTAGTTTTATAGAGAATATGAAGGAAATCCATGCAAGGTTGATTTACTATTTATTTGAAACCATGCACAATGCTGTGAAGGAGGTATATATGCTATTAAGCCAGTTATAGGTGTGACGGGGTGCTATGTTACACTAAATACCTGGTTAGTATGATTTTAGATGTCAGTCATTTAAGCTACGATCATGAAAAGTTGTTAAAAACTCTGCTAATTATGATGGTACCGTCTACCACAAGAATACAAACGCATTACTAATATTTAAAAAGTAACTGTAAATCTTAAAACATATTTAGAAAAATCTGGTACAAGAGTATGCACATAATTACATTTACAAATTTATAATACGTTGATAGAGCAAAATTACTGATAGCATGGATATATTACATGCACATTCTTTTGGAACAGGTTCGAAAATAAAAACAATTTAAAAAATCGGTTCTACACAGAGAAACTTTTAAAAATTCAAATAATGACTTGCTATTAAAAATGTATTTTCCCAATTGGTAGATGACTTACTGGTCTGTATCCTCGTTAACAATCAGTTGTTGTCCCCAAATGGATAACATTGGGTCTACAATGCCTTTGTTAGATTGTGTCTGGAAACTAGTATAGCAAGGTACATTAGAAGCAAACTAGGGCGCAGAATACAGATCGAAGTACGATTTGTCTAGAACAATAATTGTGAGGCTACAAGATATTAGAAAAAGGTTGTGCTCCACAATAGGATGTCTAAACAGTAATTGTGTTGGCGTGAACATTATGTGTTAAATTAATTTAGTTTTTTTGTGATTACTTAATAATTGTTGTGTATGTATCTATTAACATGCACATCAGTACTATATAATAGACTTTTCAAAATTTAAATATGTTACATAATTATTAACAAACTTATGGAACAGAAAATTGTTAACACGTCACACAAATGCAATTAAATTACAACAGAGCTGTTAACAAGTTTTATTAGAGATACAAGTTTTCCTTTCTTTCTGGAAGTCTCTGATAATTGATATAAGTAAAAAGAAGTCGAGTCTTCAGATGCACAGTCCATTTTTTCTGTACGTTTAGTTTATTTTTTTAGGAATCGCACCTCTTAAAATTTCAGAAAAATCCTTTATAAATAAGAACGTTGGGTCAGTGGATATACAATCCATTTATTTTAAACATGTGTGCATAACCAATAATGGCCTAAAGTAATATCACTATGGCTTCCAACATAACCAATTTTCTTTTTGTCTATCAATGTATTTAACTGTTTCCTCAATCAAATTGGGAACAAGATTTTGGGTTTTTGAACGGCAAAAGTTTTAAAATTCTGAGAAGTAACAAAAAAATCGATTTTTACCATCACTTTTTTGTAAGTAGCCCAGAAAAAATCTTTTCTTGGTGCAAGTCTCAACACCATAACCAACCAAATAGCAAAAAGTATGGCAATAGCTCTTAAGATAAGGATCTGACAGATACAGTCGTAGGCATGGACGAACGGAAAAAGTGGCCACACATCATCGAGATGATATTAACTAGATAATTTATTTATTTATTTATTTATTATCCCTCTCTTGTTCTAGGCCCTCAACAGGCTTGCGCCCAATTACAGAGTGACCCGAATAATGCTTTTTAGAGGTGCCTCTGCAGAAGGTCTTAAGTTGTTCTATACTACTCCGGTATTTACCTTACGAATTAGGAAAACTGCAGGAAAACCTAATTCAGAGTAGCCGGCAGAATGCTCGAAACTGGTCTAAGGTAATTTCCATCTCTGCCACAGATGAAAAATTCACCTCAACCCAGGTTCGAACACCCGACCTCCGGACGCTCTACCATTGGGCCATAATGCCAAAATGCACAATATTGCGTGTGAAGCAGATAATGCGTACTTGGAGTCAACAAATTTTCGTAATGAAAAATCCCATAAGGCAAGTATAGGTACAAAGTGAAATGTGTATCAACTTCCCCGACCTTCATGGAGCTTCCACGCGTCCGTCACTCATCTCATGACAGTATTAACAATCTTATATTTATAAAGAATCTGGGATACGTACTCTAAACAGACACTTTATTTTTAGGGAAGCATTTGATTTTATTTTAAAGGGGGGGGGGAGAACTCGTATGTTTATTAGTAGGTATATTATGCAATGAGCATTTAATGTCGGCTATTAAGACACGAGTATGAGAATTGCGAAACGAGCGTTCACGAGTTTCGTAATGAATACGAGTGTCTTAATAGCCATTAAATGCGAGTTTCATACACTATTTTTTCTACGAGCTACGACTATGATGAGCTATAAAGAGGTGATGCTATGATGACTTCAAAAGCGGTCCAAAATTTGAGATTTTTATTGTGTGCAGGTAGCGAAGTTCATGGTAACGGGTTCTAGCAGTGTGTCACTGTCAAATTTATTCAAGATGACCGCCGATTGGAATTTTATGATTAAATTCATAAGAAAATGAACCACCAATTCGCTATGCCCAGCTCAGTTGTCAAAACTAATAAATATTTTAGATCTATCATTGGTATGGCAACTATGATTTTCATAAACTACGAGTCGTTATCCCGTGATGCTGCCATTCTATTGGTAGTAAACTTGTATCATAATGATAATCTGTATTGAAATGACTTATCATTTAAGTACAGGTGGCAAATCTATCAATTAAAGTAGGTATAGGAGTAGAAAATAGTATATTACGTCATAAGGTTGTAATAGTGCGTATTACAGCTAGGTGAGTGGAAAAATTGCAATTATATGAACCTGTAATATGCAAATTACAACCGAATTACGTACCATACTTTTTCTACGACGGAAAACGACGTCTGTTGACAGTTTTGACTTTTATAGATATCACTTCCAAACATACATCATCTATTCTTACTTTTTTCATTACGCACGGGTGTAAGGGGATAAATATCGTGTCTCTAAATTATACATTATGACCTGATTTTCAGGAAGGTCTTAGAAAAAATGTCAATTCTAACATGTGTTTTGCTATTAATAGTCTCGAAATCATAATGGTGCCCTTTCAGCTCACTAGTGACTACGGTGCAAATGGTAATTATTGTAATAGGCTTTACTAAATCAGGTGCTCTTTTGTTTATGTTACATATATAAAACTATGAAGCAAATATGTACTAGTCGTACATTAAAGGCTATAGCTTGAACTCTCGCTCGATGCATAAAGCGTTTTACGTGAAAAAGCATTCAGAGAGAAAAGACAACCTCTACTCTAAAGTGGGTAAATACAATTACCTACAACATTTAAAATCTAATGGAATTATAATACATTTACATACAAATTTTAATTTAGTAGGTACGGTTGCTTTTGCCGTATAAAGTTAAATAAAGAATACGCTCCTAATCCTGTGATTATGAATGGTTAACAAAGTATGTTATGTAACAAATAAACCACATGAGAAAGCATTGATTTGGATTATTTTCATAAGTAGGAAGTAATTATTTGATTTTAAATTCAATTGCATTGATAGGTACATGGTGTTAACAAGTTTCATATATAAATGTGCATCATTATTAGAAACTGTGCAATCTAAACAGATCACTTTCAATTGAAACAAACATCACAAATTAGGTATATTGAACAAACTCCATTTTAATAATTAAAACTGATCTGTTTAACATATAAAAATGTTGAGCAAATTTTTACTTGACATTCATGCAGTAAATCTTAGCACATAATAAAAATCCAAAGCCATATATGTAAGTGCAGCGCTGCCATCGCTTTGATTCAAAATAAACAGACATAAAAACTTACTCACCTAAGTTCACTTAAAGGTAGAAAATCTATATCTATTAGTGGCCTTAAGCTGGGTAATGTATATGCAACGAGGTGACCATTCGATATGTAACATACTAAACAAACACTGTCTGAAATAATGTATAAAAGTTATTAAAAATGAAACTTCACATTTACATACCTTTTATAGAAATAGTTTCAGCCTTTACCACGAAATCTGTATCAGCGACTTGTTGACGGTACACACAAGTTTGAGAAGGTAGAGCTACAACACGCGCTTGTTTTTCACTTGCGATAACAACAAATTGCCGATCGCTATACGAATCGCGATTTTGGTTTTCGCTTAACGTAGGACTCATCCTGTTTTGAGATCTTGTAGGCGTTCCTGCGAGACCATAGTTTGCTACATATAAAACAAAGAGTTTCAACTTACTGTCTCTCCTTTCTTTGTTATCGTCCTTCCAAGACTCAAAAGAGTATGGTATAAGGGCTCCATTACAATCCAAAAAAGACATTGTTAGAATTGTGCCCTTCAATCTAAATATTGTCACTCCAACAAGTGAAACGACAACCGGTTGTGAAGAACGACTGTCTGGGTCTGGAGGAGTTACTAGAATTGTTAACACTGATCCTAAACTTGTTCCCACCCACAAAGTTGGTGTTAGAGTGGCAGGTTCTGCAAAGAATCACATCGTTAACAACAATTTCAGAAATTGTAGCATAAAAGTATGAGCCATATCATATTGCCATAGCATCAATTTTCCAATTACTTCGGTTTTCAATTTTTATTTATATCCTTTTTTATTATATCCTATTATATAGGTACAACTCGGTTACATTATGCTAAGCAATTTTTTTCAGGATTGCAATGGTCGAATCAGAAAAACAATAAGCATAGGTAGTGTTATAGAGATATTCCACATAATAACATGTTTTTAAATATAACATCTTTTCCCGAGGGTGGTGGATAGGGGAACAACCTGGCAAAAGATCATATGAGTTGCCAGGCTGATGCTCTCGACTTATAAAACATTCACTTCATAAATTAGGTGCCGTGAAACAGAACAGTGAATCAGGAGTGGTACTCTATCGGGTACGGCGTACGCCCCCACCTAGCGAATGAGGGGCGCCCTATACAGATGATCGCAAGTGCTATCTAAGCTCATCATCAGAATGAAGGTAGTACTGAAATATTAAAAGTAATGAGCCTCATTTTTCGCGACTGTACAGCGAGGATTAGAAGTGGGGGAAGATGGGGGGCAGGGGGCTGTAGTGTAAGCTTTTGAGCAACACCTGGTTTGTTAGGGAGTGGCATGCGGCCGCGTCAGAAGAAAGCAAGAATGAGCACGTTCATGGTGATGGTATTCTTTGACGTTAAGGGAATCGTACACCACAAGTTTGTACCGTACCCGGGCAGACCGTCAACAAGGATTTCTACAAAGAAGTTCTCAAAAGACTCAATCACAGAGTTACCTGCGTTTTGCGACAAACACGAAATCAAACCAACCTAGGGCGTATGCTATGTTATATAGCGGGACTGTGTCATGGTCCAGGATTGACAGAACTAGAGGCCAATTATCAACTGCTACAAGCTTCCGAATGATACAAAGTGTGAGGGTTTTAAGAAATTAACAACAATGAGCACATGAATCATCTTTTCACTAAGTTAATTTTACAAAATTCTTGCACGATACACTAACTGTCTAACCCATTGCCATATCGACAGCATTGATTGTTATTCAACATGGAGGAAGAAAGTAATCCAAAAAGGAATCCCTAATCTGGAATCACATATGTGATATTGACTTTACACACTATACAAATATATGAAAAATATATAAAGTCAATGGTGATACACATTCTGAATGTAGATGACTAAAGTACTTCAAATTACTCTCTCAAAAGGTGTCACAGCGCATACGTGAATAAAAAATGTATACAGTAATATTCGCATGTAGAAGTAGACATAGGGATTTCCTACACGAACTTCCTATGTCTACTTTTAAATAATAAAAAGTCTTCTGAAAGACGCCTAACTTTATGCAACCAAAATTACCTACAACAAATGAAGCTGTCATTAATTAATTTAAATATTATTGCTTTGACTTCCGTATTCTAATTTTCTTTCGTGTGCGATGTATTCAACTAATGAAAAAGTTGATATTTCCAATTGGTATAGTGCCAGTAGTAGCATTGACCTTTACACACTATAGACAAACGGTGTAGGCTTAAAAAATGGCAACACAAATGGAGCTGGAAATGTTAGTATGGAGGTGGGCCACCAAATCGTCGCAGCGCCACTCTCGTTGTTATTACGTCATTAATAATTATTGTACCTACAAGTGCATGCACAGTGACAGGTATCGACACTGACATGCGCGGATTAGTAAGAACGCAAATTTTTCATAAAGCTAAACCTCCATGGCATCAAGACGAAAAGGAGTTTGTCATAAAGTTATACTACAAGTCTCCGGCAACTCACAAATTTCTGGAGGCAAAATATCGTGTTGCCTGCAATATCTACCTTAAAAGAATGGATTTCGGCATCTAAATCCACTACAGGATATAATTCAGCATAGTTCGAACAAATTAAACTAAAAAGTTAGTATGTATACTTTATCGTCAAGAAAGAGTGGGTGTTATTTGCTTCGACGAAATGTTCAGAATCGCCATCATGTTCATCTTCTGCATTTTTTCAGTCGTCATTAGAAAACTCCATCTTAGACATTGAAGTTGATAACACTAGGTACATTACTGGAAGAGTGAGTTGATCTACTTTGCGATCGAAAAGTTTAATTGCACACGATGTGAACAGCTTCTCAGAAAACCACATCAAACCATAATGACGCCAAGGAACTATTAATTTTACACAAATCCTTTGAAAATAGGAAAAAACGCTGTGGCATCGGCCATATCTGTTAAATTGTTGCTAAGAACTTTAAATTTTGTAAATGGTCTTTGTAATACTATTAAGAGTAGTTCAAACAAAAATGTACAGAATCAAAAATTAAACGAATGAAACGTCATAAATTTGCTTGCGTTCATATGTCGTCCCATTCAACGTCATCATTAGTACGTGCATTGCAGTGTGTTTAATAAGTTGCCTATTTAACGCAAATATTCGCTACAGTAAGCGGCTGCCATTTTTCCCTATTTCTCCGTTTGTCTATAGTGTATAAAGTCAATGGTAATAGTTAAAGGAGCTTAAGAGATTTATTTTCTGTGAAGCCAAAGCAACAATATTAATAATTAATACAGCCATATCTTTATTTATTTCAAGAAGTTATTTTGGTTGCATAAAATTAGGCGTCCTTCACAAGACCTTATCATTTGAAAGTAGACATAGGAAATCCCTATGTATACTTCTACATGAATATCTCACTGTATATTGGATTCATTATATTATAAGAAGGTAATAGATGGCGCTGTGTTTGAAGATAAACACACACAGGAAAAATATAAAGTGGCACCAAATTATTGTACAGTAGAAATATCCAGCACTGCGAACAGAAATGAAGCAAACGATTTCACCCTTGGATCTTTAACAGCTAATAACAGTTCGGCAGCTTAGTTAGTAACAGAAACTACCAGCTCACAAAATTCATGTTCAGTGTAATACTGACTCATGTTTAAACCAATCATAGTGAAGGTCAAAGCTTCCGTACATTTTCTACTGTTACCTTAGATCTTGCTTTAATCGAAGGCTTAAGTGAACCTGGTGTATAGCTACAGGGGCACTAAAAACAGGAGGGAGTTTGTGCTCGGATCCGCACCCACCAAAAGAGGTCTAAACAATTAGTGGACCATATTATGGTCAAAAATTGATGTGTCATCATCAGATGCGACATGGTTGTGAATTGGCATGTGTCTGAATAGATGCCTCTCTCTCTCTCTGGTCAAAGATACAGATATAAAATTTAAAAAAAGCTGGCCTAAAAGGGTACAGAAACCTGAAGAAAACCGATTGGGCCCTATATAAAACAAGTTTTTTTAAAGGAAAAAACTGGGGCCCTTCAAAGGCAAGAAGTTCCGTAGAGATTGAAAGTTTGGAAATAATCTCCGAATGGCTATAATAGATGCGTTCAAAGCCAGTTGTCTGCGGAAACCCCAGAGATTCTCCTGGTGGCACGAGGGACTTACTTGGATGTAAATAAGTTTTGTGTCAAAAGAACAGGTGAGTGGGGTGGTGCAAACAAATCTTACCTTTGTCACAGACCATAATACATACCTACAAACAATGAATGATGGAATTATTGTGAGGGGGTCGGAAAGATGATACCGAGATTGCGAGTCTCACGAAACACAAAGAGAAAATAGGAAATTTTCCAAAAAGTTATACAAGCTACACGAAAAACGAAAAGGGTACCCAATGAATCTTTGCTTCATACTTTCTGAGGGCTCTATTACCCTCAAACCTATAAAGAATGGCGGGAAAATCTGCCTATTCTAAATTGTAAACCAAGCCAGGAGAATTGGAAATTAGAAAGTGAGATCATAGATCACACAAAAGTTAAATGGGCGATTATAAAATTCCAACCATTTACATCGGTAAGATGAGATGGAATTTTCCTAGCTCTGTTGCAGGAAGAAGTCGATCTATTTTCCTCCATATTCCCTGACTCTTTTAGTGGCAGTGTTGATCTGCAGTATGTAATACCTCCAGCAAAGAGTGAAGTAAGAACAGTATTTAGCAGACTGACTCTTCACAGAATCCTGAGCATAGTGGAGCAATCGCTCAATCGAAGCAAATTCTATTAGGTGCATTATTAGATATTGAAGGGGCGATCGATCTCTAAAATCATAAGAATCATAAGAAAATCATCATATGAAGCTTACATCATGGGTGTCCATCTGGCAAGCTCCAGGTTGATAACCTGTATGTTCGAAAACAGGAACATTAATCCTGCTGCCACTGTCCAATCAGTGGATGTAACAGCGCCTAATTAAGGAACTTTTGACTGTTGAATTTTCGGGGCCTTCTTGACAAAAATAAAAATTATGTCCCCAAAAATAAACATTTATCAATTTATTTGTTAGGTTTCTATTAATCCAACAAAGATCTCTCTTATAGTGATTATAAGACAAGGAATCGTATGGGAACAGAAGCGACTTTTCCTCAATGGAACGCCCAATGGATAATGAAGACGAATACCTGGGAGTAACCTTAGACAAGATGTTGACATTTCAACCATATTTGAATAAAATAACAAGCAAGTCTTATGGACTATGCACGAATGTTTGGAAAGAAGTCTAACGCGAAATATGGTGCACGGGATATACATGTGATGTGTGTTAAATTTATCATAACGTATGCAGCCTTATAGTGCAGTACAGACCCAATGAGACACAAGAAAGTGAAACAAAACTAATATATATTTTTTGGAAATTTTAAACAAATGAAAATCTGATCACCCACTCGGGATTAAAAAAATAAACCCAGATTATTTTTTGGCTTAACTGGACCTTACTGTGTTCATAAAGTGGTAAGTAGACAGCAATCTATATAATCTTCCCCACATATTGTTAAAATTGGAACAAACATTCAGTTTTGATATCGTAAAACCTATATAATGCAACTAACCTGATTTCCGTGTGTACGAATCTGCAAACGCTAAACATTGGATTGCTTCTGATGTGATGTTTTCTAGCGAACTCATCGAACTTGAGCGTGATCTTGAAAATGAGCTGTCCAGCTTGTCTACTCGACCCATAAAGGTAAAAAATCATTAATACAATGCATAAGAAATAGGTTCAGCTCTACAGAAAGCACTACTCATGCGCACATAAGCCAAACATTCACATTCGCTTATTTATTGTGTACAAGTATACGGCTTCAATTAAATTAATTTTATTGCCGTAAAATTTGTACAAAACAAATAAGACTGTGTTTAAATTAATTAAATTTAAAAATTAAGTTTTATAAATATTTAACCAAGACTGGCAGAAAGAAAAATTTTGTAAGTAAATTCCCCAGAAACTGTCTTCGTTACATTTCTTGATCAAAGAAATGTGGAATGATTTAACAGAAAATAAATTTACAAAAAATGCAGGTATTGTCTTGTTACAGTCATACAAGGGATTATTAATTATTTAAATTTCAACAATTTCGTTTTAGGTAAGAATTATTTAAAAGCGCATACCAAATGCAATGCATTCCGATAAGACATTCTTCAAATTTACTTATAAATGAAACAATTTACAGTTATATACACACTACACAACCTAACAGGTTAGGAGTAAAATGCGTTTCAGTACATCATCGTTCTAATAGTTACCAGATAATCCCGAATGAAACCAGAGATGCAAATTCTAATTAATATCACAGTGCAACTGCTCGATGTTTTACGTCATTGGTATGCACTACATTCACACCAACCATGCCAAAGCAAACAGCAATAGCAGTAATGTATCAAATTTTTAAAAATATCGTGGTGGCTACCACGTTGAATCCTTAAGGAATTGTTCATTTTTGCATGCACCAAAGAATTAATTCCAAACATTCCATAAATATTGACCTCAACACTCAATAAATGTAATACACAACATATATATAGTTGAAAAGTAGTGCTCAGAGTAAAGCAATTAGAAGATGACAGTCTATAGAAATAATAGTCTTGACTTACTAACATTTTGTTATACCAATTGTAATAATATATACTTACACTTTATTAAACGTTTATTTATTTAATTAATTAATAAATCAATTAATAAAACGTCAACGTTTTCAAATACTTATACCAGGAAATAGAAGTTTTCATAGGTAACCCAAATTAAGTGAGTAAATATTGTATAATCGTTTATTGTCACAACCTGAAGTTAGAATGAAAGTTATTTTGCATCCTTCGAAGTAATTTGGTACAAAAATGTTCGTTTGCAAGCGCAAAATCTACAAAAAAAAAATTGATTAATAGACTGACTGACGATGTCTATCATAGGGATCTCGGAAAGGAAACCATAGAAGATGGTCATTTGAGAGAAAAGTAGCGCACTAAGTTATTGTCATGCAAACCCGAAATTTGATTTGGTTTTTTATTTTTTCTGATGATATTTGCACAGATACAAAAAAACCACTTTCTATACAATATAATGTTTCATTAAAAAAATTAAAATTGATTAAAAACTGTTAGTAAATTGTTTGTATTTTTTGAATTTGAGCCTTTTTTTAAATTTTTTTAAATCTTTTTGAATTTTTTGGTACGCTTGAATATCAAGGTTCGATAACTTTTTTACCTGACCCCGCGCGTGTACCTGCTTATTCAAGTTATACAACAATCATTACAACGAAACTTTGGTAATAAACATATTTTTCGAAGAATGGGCGTCCAGCTTGCGAACAATTAGGTACGTGAAGATACTATTTCTGAAGCTGTAGTTGGAATTTGTAGTGTTACCAGTCATGAATTAATTTACGAACGTAAATCTCGGCAACAGCTAACGTAGCCGGTATCTGCTTCGATCAGTCGCAAACAAATGCTGTAATGCTGCCAAAAAAGCTTCCCAGCTTGCTGTCATGGGACTAAGCCCCAGTTGCACCAACAAAATTAAGCCTTGCTTAAAGTTAAGTCGAACTTAAAATCTATGGCAACAATCGTTGCTATGGTATTTAAGTTATGCTTAACTTTAAGGGATATACTTAATTTTGACGGTGCAATAGGGGTTTACAGTATAGTTGAATTCCGTAGTTCTAATGTAATAAGCGTAGGTATACCTGAAACCATAAAACAATTTTTTGGACAGTAAAAGTTTATTTAAAAATAGTGGCGGAAGAGAAAAAAATGAACATGTGCAGTATTTGGGGTTTATTCAAAACGAGATGATTGTGGCGGGCCGCAAGGTCTGTGACTAATAAGCCCGACCAGACAGCTGCTAGAACCGTTTAGATGACATACGACTTGACAATATTGCAGGAGAATGTCGTTTGTAACTTGCGACTTGCATCATCTGTCACAGGCACTTGTCCTTCACTTTAGTTAAACATGCCTCTTTTAACCGTCAAATCCGACAAACGTCAGACCCTCGCACAAGGTTGTCAGCTCACTTCTACGTGATTGGTTGTAGGTTTGTGACGTATTTAGACGGAAGCGTTTCAAATTCGGACTAAAAACACAGCTTTTCAATCATTTATTTTGGGTTTATTTTACTCGCAAATAAAAATTGAGGACACACAGGTCCTTTTATTTTTATTGTAGGTACAGGGTGAGTCAACGATTGCGCGGAGTAACTTAATGCCTTGAAGATAAGATTTGTCGATAGAGTGCTTTTGTATTATGATATGGCTGAATATTCCCCACATTTTAAAAATATTTGGAATTATACAGGGTGCTTCCACAAAGCAGGGCGCCCAAATGGTACATTCTTTTAAATAGAACCCCCTGTATTTGAATGCATTTTTGAATTCTACCTGTAATTGTACGTCTTTTTTTATTATATGATTAATATCCGAAAAGCTAGTAGTTTCATAGATAATTCTATTTTTAAGAAAAATTGGGCATTTGCAAGCGTCAGTATATTGTCAAAATTATTGCTTAAATTTTGATTCCAGGTTTTATACCTTTTATCCTGGGTTAAGTAAAAGTCAAATAAAGACATCTACTATGAAACATTAAAAATATAGCTTACAGGGTGTTTTTTTGGTAGGTCCAAAGTTGCAAAACTTCATAGTAAAAACGAGAGTAAAAATCTCACTTTTTTAATTGGAGCACCCTGTATATTTTTTTGTCATCATTTAGCTCCTCCAAAAACCTTCAACTTTTGATAATAATGTCCTATACCTATCTCTGATAGTTTTCGAAATATCTTGGTTTTCCTGGGTTTTATATTTTAATCTTAAATAAGTTATACTATGTAATTTACATAATAGTGAGGTGCACATGCAAAAAAAGGCAATTTTGATCTAGTCTAGTTCTAACAATGACTGACAGAGGGCGTAACTGCAATCTTCAATTTTAAAATTGCATTTTCTTTAAATTTCGCATAATAAACTAAAAAAATTGATTTCCCATTTTTAAAAAGAATATCTATGATTATAGTAAAAACAAAAACTCGGTTATTTCAAAAACAAAGATGGTGTGGGACGTTCAATTGTTTTTGCAATAACCTGCTTTAACTTCTTAACCGTTTGACCGATTTTAACAAATTTGGCTACTTTTTCATAAAAAAAACTTCATATCATTCCATTTGATTTTTTTTAGGATTTTAGATCATAATGTCAAAACCAGCCCCCTAGCGGAGAAGGATTCAACTAAATTAACTATATTTTTGATGGTTGATTCTTATTGCCCAAGGAATGCTCTTTTCAACGATATCAAATTTGTTACAATCGATCAAACGGTTAAGAAGTTAAAGCAGGTTATTGCAAAAACAATTGAACGCCCCACACCATCTTTGTATTTGAAATAACTGAGTTTTTGTTTCTACGAAAATGATAGATAAAAAGGTTCTCTTTTAAAAATGTGAAAAAGGAATGTTTAGTTTAATATGAGAAATTTAAAGAAAATGCAATTTTAAAATTTAAGATGGCAGTTACGCCCTCTGGTGGTCATTTTTAGAACTTGAAAATATTTTCCAGGGGTTCTTCATAACCGATTTACCCAATAATTTGTTTACCCCTAAGTCATACGACGAACGGTTCCTGAGATATGGCCGAGGAACAGTCTTATTGGGTCACCCGGTACATATGGATTAAGTATGCGAGTTCAATGAATTTGATAATGGATTTTGAAGCTGCTGCAATTACGACTGAGTAGCGAAATAAACGATTCTGTTAGAATTCAAGTTCAGACAATATTTAATATTGGCATTCTAAATTTCAGTAGGTACCTACCAATTACTACAAATTGTGTAGAGTTAGAAGCAACATTTCACAAACTTTCTATTTCCTGTCAAATAATTAAAAAAATTAGGTAGGTATACATGAAGTATTAATGACATTTGAAGAAAGTCAATAGATATCCACAGTTAAAGCAAGACATTTGAATTGCATATTACATTTAACACACTGCATGCCACACCACATTCAAGTGCATTATTTGGTAGAACTTATGATAACAAAATAAATGAAAAACTTATAGAAAATGAAAATAACTAAGTGTTCTGTGTGTAACATATCGTGCAAATTAGCGCAAAAATACATTAACTTAAAAGTAGCAAGAAAATTTAGTTCATTTCAAATAATTGCTATCTGTGATCAAATCTGTTAATTATTTTTCGTGTTACTGCATTCTCAAAACGTGAACTGAAACAAACAAAATCTATTTTTGAAAGTGACCGATGTTAAGTGCAATTTCAGAAATAATCCACAAAGAAAATGCGTTTACGACGTGCCAGTTTTAAGGAAATCGAGAGCACATGTAGGTGCAAACATACACAGAAAAGATTGAAATACTAGAATCAAACGTTAACAGTTAAGAACACAGATTTTTGTTAGATTTTGAAGTATACAAGGATAAGAGTAAATAGAAAGGCTGTTTTGGATAGTACATGTCACCTTATATATAAGACCATGCGTAGTTCTAGAGCTAGTTTCTTGATTGCAAATTTCTTGATTGTATAAATGATGATACTGACGAGTCACGACTTACCCCAAATTCTGTTACACACTTAAGTATGTCGTAACTGGTTACTTGTAACAGGTGTAATTTGCTATCAAGAACTTTGCTTTTGTAGATCAGAGAAGGGCAATGACCAACTCTACAGTGAAGTGAGACGAACAAAACTACGGTGAAATCAATATCTACAACAAACTTTGCAAGTACAAAAATTTAATTTTGAATCTCTACTGCTATTGCTCAACAGTTCCATATTAATTGAATAACACAAAACTAAGTAGGTGTTGAAAGATTTTATTAGTTCTCTACTAATAGCTCACTGATGAATGAAAATGAATTCAGAAAGCTCAATTAGCCAGTTTCTTTTTAAAAAGTAGGTTTTCTGAATTACAAAGTTAAAAGAAAAGAGCTAATCGATTTATGTGCTAAAATACGATCCCTACCACATGATCATGATCATTAACAGAAGATTGCTTTTTTTATGAAATGGACTAAACTACCTACTCGAGATTGGATTCATGCAATTTTTCTAAGAGCAACTATTTTTGGTCATGTGGTAGATGGTATGAAATTTATTAGGGCAACTAATGATGTGAATAAATGAATAGTAAGTGATAAAGAGGTGAGCAGCAGAGAGCACGAGTGATTTATCAAAAGCTTGGTGACTGTACTACCAAAACTACAATATTGGCGAGCGACCAGCAGCTGTTGGCGCTGCGCAGTGGGTGCCATACTAGAAGGGGAGTGGCTGCCACAGTCTTCTGAGTAGCTAGCCGTGGACAGGCACTTGTGTAGTTTGCGAGTACCTTGAGATCGAGACCGACGTGGTGGATCGGGGCGCACTCTGCCAGCAGTGGGAACGGGACACACCGTTGCCGGACTGCACACTCCGTTAATCTACCCAAACCCATTACTTATACTTCGGCTAATGATATACACGAAGCGGTAATTATTATCATTGAGAATTTGATACAATACTCGATGATGATTTCCCGCTTATAAGTAAGACAATATAGTTAATTTTATGAACTATCTATAGACGAACAATAAGCATCATTTCCGCTATACAGGTTGGTGTGAGCTAAGCACTATAGGGCAGGGTCTACGTTAGGCTACGTATCCTACCCAATAGTTCCCTCAGGAAGTCACTGAGGCAACTGCCATCCTTGTCCTTCAATACACCCAAAAGCCACTGTGAACAAAGTCACAAACCCACCAATGCCCACTGAAATAAAGCGTTAGTTATCAAATGGATTTAAGACGTTTGTCTGCACGCGTAATCAACAAAACAATTAAAGCAACTTAGCAAATAAGCGAGTATGAGAACCAAATAACAACTGGTTTAATGATGTATGGGGGTTTACTTTACCATTCATTCGCTACATACTACTACTAACACTAAAATACTTAAAAATTATCACACCATTTACCTACTATTCATATGTAGGATTTTTTCAATATCATTCATATTGTTCCCAAACTAATTACACAAGCATAAAACAATAAAATAAGAAATGTGGGGTATCATAAGGAATTGGGGGTTATAAGAAATAGTAGTTAGATAGAAAGATTAAGAGACAGAGAGAATAAGACTTACTGAAACGTCGGATCAAACTGCCTGCAAACGAGGGTTGATTAGTCGACTGCGTTTCCTGTTTGTTTCGCAAGTCCTTCAAGTGTTGCAAGTCTGGCTTTTGCAGTTTCACGTTTGGCACTGATAACAGTCTTTGATCTCTTTTATCCGAAATCTTTTTTTTAATACGTCGTGGCGGACGAATAGGACAACCACTCTCGTCCGTCAAATCTAAGTTATCAGGTCTGCTAACGCTACTTGTTTTCGCATCTAGTGTAAGTTCGTTTTCGGAACCAAGTGAACCCACAACGGTAGGAGATTCATTTGTTTGTTCGTTGCATACAAATTCAATATCGGCGGGGAACTCTTCAACGCTATCGTAACTATTACTACCTTCACAAGGTTTTTCTGGACTAGAAAGTTCCGTAACCGTATTTTCGATTATAGTATTTTCTGCTGTATCAGGTGATGATTGCTCTTCTATGTCGTCGACGTCAGGGCTTGGAGAAATATCAGAATAAAATATTGAGTTTCTTTTATCTTTAACACTTTCATTTCCAGAAAACGTGCTTTTTAGTTTTAAATCTACCTTAGACAATTGCTTTTTAATATTAAATGTTTTCCAACTGGACGATCGGCGGCGATTATTGGCTTGAGGAATAGAAACTGCTTGATCCTCTTCTAGTGCCTCATATGCAGGTTCGACAGGAGTGGGGCAGGGGCACGGGAAATAAGGAGACTCCGGAGAGAGTCCCATCTACAGACATGCATATATCCAGGTAACAGAAAGCAGAGGAGTTTTATTAGCAACTTATCGTAATCAGCAAAATAGAATAATTGTTGGGTGCCTTCAACTGCGTTGTGCAATTACTTTTAGCTTAGGAGTACTAGCATTCCTACTTGGGATGTGTATAACTGCACACTTCTAGTTGAATTGGTTTGCTTGATTTAAGTAACCTACTTTGTGAACGTAATACACCTATAGGAATTTCATATTTTATGAAAAAAGTCCCGACATTAATGGAAAAAATTTACCACGAAGTTCATGCCATTAAGTTACTTTTGTGTTTAACTATTATTGCTTCCTTAATAAAGCAACTGACCTGATCCACGCTAGGACTCCTTGGCTGACGTTCTTCCTTTTCAGGGTATATACCAAGGACATCTGTGTTTGCTAATTGACCTTTTTTCGGACTCCGAGGTGCACGGGAGTATGGATCCTGAGCTCCATACAAATCGGGACTCCCAATGTTTAAAAGACACACTTTCTGTTCTATATCCACCACTGCTAGTCCAGCTTCATTACCATATGCCATTCTGAAATTTACGATTTTTAGTGTTATATTAAGCTGAATAAAAGAAAACCTGATCATAACCTCCATCTATTTAATTAACATTAAAATCAGTACCTAATAATAAGAAAACAATTCTTTTACGGAAATATTATTTATTTCGTACTATCTACTTATCTAGTAATCGCCGCTTTCCCAGACCCATTTGAGTCTGGTAAATCCTAGGAGTATTAGTTTTTACTCGTAGGATAATATAAATCGCGATATTTATTCACAATCATATACAGTGAGTTTTTTTAAAAAGCGAACATACGCTTTTGTATGCAATGCAATTTCTCTACGTTCGATTTAAAAAAACCTCATCAATCTATGAGGTGTGCGTGGTTCAAATTTCCACCAGCAAAACGCGCAACTTGCGTGACTATGAACAGCAACGGTTTCTATAGTCTTCATGATGAAGAGCACTCAGTAAGATTTTTTTTAAAGAAGCCATATGAGGCCATAGCATCTTGAGGAAACATTTTTCTTACACTCTCGACTCGATAACTTGACTCAATGAATAAAGAATACCAGGAAGGAGAACATCAACAATTTACGCGAGACCGCGATGGCTTTTGCAAATAGCGGGCAGTAGTTTCCTGTTCCAGTGGCGTACCTACCTTATAGTTGTAGGATACAATTATAAAGAATTTTACACGAAAACAATCTAAACCCCCATGTGTCTACTCCGCCTATGTTTTTGTTTAACTAACCTCAAACTACATTCCGATAAAAATTTGTAAATTTACATGTACTATATAAAAATAATATTGGTATCAATACTTACACATGAAATGTAATTCCCAAACTTTTATTTTTTTCCGTTTTGGAACAACCACAAGCACAACAACTAACCATTATTTTATGTCACTGCAAAAACCACAACAAAAATGAGTCATAAGTGGCTTTTGCAAATGGCCGACTTCCGTCCCACTCTGTCTTGTATACACCCTGAGTAATGCTCCTTTCGATATTCTTTATTCATTGACTTGACCTCACAGGGCACGCGCTGTCACCACAATTCATTGTGAACCAACCTTCAATTATTTGTAGGTCATGTGCACCAGGTATTCTACTAATTTGATGTACCTATTCAATACATAAATGAAGAAAATAAATAACGAAAACAACTACAATAAATGTTCAAAGTGTCCTCCTTGACATTCTAAGCAATTACCTAACCGATTTCGAAATCAAATTGGACGGCGGCATTTTTAAAAATGTGTCAGCTGTCAATTTTATCTACTATACGCATTTGAACTATTCAATAATTCAATGGTTTTTTTAAAAATCGAACATAGGGAAATTACATTGCATACAAACTCCTATGTTCGCATTTAAAAAAATTCACTGTATGTAATATGTCAATTAGCCAACTGTTTGAAGTTTGGAAGTGAGCAATTGTTTGATATATTTTGCGAACCTCGTCGAGGTCAGCAAAGTACTTCCCGACTTGCACGCCAATGCCGACTAGATTTAAATGCTACACTGACATTGTTGGAATTTGTTATACCTACACTTATTTTTATATCACAGGAGACCTACGAGTAAAAAATAAAAGGAGAGAACCTTGCATTAAAAGGGGACTTGACGGAAATGAACAAAAAGGAAGTTATAAAATTGCTAGAAGAGTGGGGAGAAACGCGTCATTATTGGCAGTGGTGTAATAAAACAAAACTGACATCGTCTCTTCTGTTTTATGATAAGTCAAGTCGTTATAACTGACCAGCGCAAAGGAAGTGATATTTTGACGACTTCCGTCGCGTGTTATGCTATTTCCCATCACCGTTATATTCTCTCCTCTTATTTTTTACTCGTAGCAGGAGACCAACTTAAAAATTAATTTGATTCTCATCTGATCAGCAATATGATCAACGATTGTCGTTGCAGAGTATCTTGAATGGAGAATAGAACCCATTTGTACACTATTCAGTTTTTGCAATTCGATTACATGTTCATGATCTGCAAATGGTCTATTCGACTTGGAATGTAATATGCTGTCCGAAAAATAAAAAATCAAATGGTGGCCTCGGGTTTTCCTCAAGGTCTTGACCTTGGACTTTGGTTTCGGGGGTCGTTGGCCTCGGAGTTCTAAAATATAACTGAAATATCTTCTTAATACCCGAGGTTAAACTCCAAGGCGACGACCTCGGGCATTCAAGGTCAAACTCCCACCCCATGACCTTGGGAAAACCCGTTTTGTAAATTTTAAGAAGATATTTGAGATTGTTTTAAAACTATAATTATAATAAGTATAATTTTGATGTTGATAAAAAAGTTTCTAAGTTTTCTGAAGATATTTATAATTATTTTTTTGATCTGGCAAACATTTTCGAGTTTCACTTTATATGTTGACGAGGATATATTGACAAAAATGTTGTCTGCTAAAACAAATTTTTTAGTTTGATCAAAAAGTTTCTATATGCCTCGAGCATCGCTCGGAGAAAAATACTAACACGGCAAAACGTATTTCAGATATCTTCATAAAACTAAGAAATCTTTTTTTATCAATATACAAAGTTACATTATCAGTTTTATTGATATTCCAGTTTACGTTTTACTAACTGTAGGTACATCTCTTTCGCGTGTGAATAATGCGTGTAAACTTGGAAAAGATAGGGATTTCCAAATAAGAACTAGCAAAATGTTATATACATGTAACTACAAAACCCTTATTTTATTTACCGTTTTGCTTGACGCTTTGCTTTTTGGCATAATAACCCGTCAAAGTCCAAGGCCACGATCTTGGGAAAGCATAAGGTCAACCCTAGGTCAAAGTCAAAAACCACGACCTTGGAGAAATCCCGAGGGCAAAATCTAAAGCCACGGCCTTGGGAAAACCCAAGATCAAAGTCCAAGGTCATAACCTATTTTTAGAAGACAGATATATGTGAACACGTAGTTAAAACAAGATTATAATTATTTGTCATAAAAATACACTGACAAATTTATTTAGAACAATTACTCAATCTCTCAGTGCTAACTGATCTATTTAAAAATATTTAGTGTTGCTATTTTTCTCAACACTCCTCCTCAACACTGGCTTTTTAGTCATCCAATCCATTCAATCGTCTAAGCTGTTGAACTCGAACGCGTGCCACAGGCTTGGTGAGTAAATCTGCCGCCATGATTTCCGATGGACAGTACATGAACTGGATTACTCCGCTTTGATACAAATCCTTGACAAAATTGTACTTTGTATCAATATGTTTTGTCCTGTTACTAAATTTTTCAGTATGCAGCATTTTCAGACAAGACTGATTATCCTCGTTAAGCTGTATATTTTGAACGTCCTCGTCGAGATCATGTAGAAGTCGTTGAATCCATATTGCCTCTTGTGATGCCTCCGACAAGGCCACAAATTCAGCCTCCGCAGTTGACAATGAAACACAGGTCTGCTTGCGGCATGCCCATGATATAGTACCGCCACAGAATTTGAATAAAAATCCACTGTTCGACTTTCTATCATTGCGGCATTCCGCCCAATCCGCATCAGCATATCCAACCAAACCAGAATCATCGCCACGATTGCTTAGACGAAGCTGCAAGTTGATCGACCCCTTCAGATATCGTACAATTCGTCGCAGTTCATTCCAATCACGTTGCGTAGGATTCGACAGTTTACGACTGAGAATGGATACAGGAGCAGCTATATCTGGCCTGCTATTAACAGCCACGAAAAGCAATTTTCCCACCAGCTTTTGGTACTCCGTATTATCAGGAAGTGGCTTGTCTTCAGTATTTGGCTTGAAATATCCCACGTCAATGGGAATCGGAGATGACTTAGCATCCTCCAAACCAGCTGACTTCACGATATCCGTTATATATTTTCGTTGCGAAATGTGAAAATCCCCATCATTATCACGTTCCACTTCGATACCGACGTAATTCCGAACCTCTCCCAAGCTCACAATCTCGAAGTTTCTCTCTAATATCCTTCCAGCCAACGTGATGAGTTTTTCTTCCGCACTAGCAATGATTAAATCATCTACGTAAACTAGGATGTAGCATCGTTTTCCATTAACCTGCTTGCTATATAAACATGGATCAGCTTCACTTCGCTTGAAGCCATCACCTACCAGTACTTGATGAAGCTTATTGTTCCACGAACGAGCGCTTTGCTTTAATCCATACAGGCTCCGTTTCAAACGACAGACCTTGTCTTCAGATCCTTTAACGACGAACCCCGGCGGCTGTCGCATGAATATTTCCTCCTCAAGGTCGCCGTTTTTATATCATACTGCCTTACGACCATTCTTCGCTTTGCCGCGACTGACATCAGCGCCCGAAATGTTGTTTGACGAACAACTGGTGCGAACACTTCGTCGTACTCCTTTCCATATTGTTGATTATAGCCTAGAGCTACTAGTCGTGCCTTGAACCTTATTACCTCGTTATTCGTATTTCGCTTGAGTTTGAAAATCCACTTACACCCCAAAATACGTTTTCCACATGGGGCATCGACCAACTCCCAAGCGTCACAATCACGGATTGATTCAAGTTCCTCTATCATGGCCTTCCTCCACTTGTCGCAATCTGGTCCAGACAGCGCCTCTTTCACCGTTCTCGGCTCCTCCTGAACTCTAGTTTCTGCCGTATCTATCAGGTAGTTGTCCTTTCGTTGTCCTGGCAGACCTTCTACAGGTATTTTCTTCAACAATAGGTATTGCATCTTGGCAGACGTCTTCTTCATCCTCATCCGCTATGGGAACTTCATGTTGCTCACATTCAGATGGAGTCGTTGTCAAAAATGGAACAATTATTTCGCTTGATGAAGTGACACTTTCTGAAGATTGCACAGAGCCGAAGCTGTTCAAAAATTTTACGTCACGGCTTATTGTAATTCTTCCTGTCGACACATCCATCAAACGAAATGCCTTTGACACCTCGCTATATCCCATAAATTTCAACTTTTTCGCTTTTTCGTTTAGCTTACTACGCTTTTCTTCCGGTATGTAGCAGTAAATATCAACGCCGAAGGGATGCACGTGGCTTAGATTTGGTTTTACTCCATGCCAGCGTTCATATGGCGTAACAGGAATTGTACGAGAAGGGAGACGATTTTGAAGATAGTTTGCAGTTGTTATGGCTTCACCCCAGAACCGGTGATCAAGTCCGGCCTCGATTAACATACACCGAGCCATCTCTACTAGATACCTGTTTTTACGTTCCGCAATGCCATTTTGTTGTGGCGAATACGGCGCGGTGAATTGACCGACAATGCCATTTTCTTTCAAAAATCGTTTAAAATTTTTCCCAGTGTACTCACCTCCATTATCTGAGCGAAGTATCTTCGGCTTCTTACCGAATTTGGTGTTGACCATCTCGACGTACTCTTGTAGCTTTTCCAACGTTTCCGACTTTCGTTTCAAGATGTAAACGACTGTATACTTGCTGAAGTCATCTATAAATGTTAGAAAGTAGCGCCTTCCGCCAAGCGTTGCAGTTCGCATCGGACCACATACGTCCGTATGAACAAGCTCCATCACACCTGTCGACTTGCTCCCAGAAATCTTTGGGAACGGAACTCGATGCATCTTCCCACGAATACACACCTCACAATCCTCTGGACAGTTACACTCGCATAATTTTATTCCGTTCGCCAATCTCGGAAGCATTTTTACAGCGTCACGGTCTCTATGTCCAAGCTTACGATGCCAGATATGAACGCACTCGGTGGGCTGAGTCACCAACGACACATTTTCATTATAGAGTTTTAACACAAACAAATTGTTCATCAATTCAGCCACTGCACCTACAGTCCCATTTCTACTAATGGTAGCACCTTTCGCGTCAAAGTTTACAATGAATCCCGTGCTTACTAGTCTCTTCACTGACAATAAGTTCACCTTCATTTCTGTTACCAGCAGCACATCATCAACCATAATAACGCGACGTCTATCCGAGCTATCAACTGCGATTAACTTTCCGGATCCTTTTCCAGTAGATCTTACTTTCATTCCGTTAGCAACACTAACATCTTCTTTGACACTGCTGTCAAAGGACTCGAAAAAATCACGATTGTTTGAAATATGGCACGTCGCACCGGAATCAAGAATCCAAACACCCGGAAATGCCAGATTGCCTGCTGTGAATGCCCAATTGGATGATTCATTATCAGTTTTTACCACACAGTGCGCCTTCTTAACGAATTTTTCATCTTGCTTTCCGTTTTTCTGCCTATTTTCCTTCCATTTCTTCCATTTTTCGCAGCTTGTTTTCTTGTGACCCACCTTTTTACAAAAATAGCACTTATCATTTTCTTTTCTGGTTGTAGTATGCAAAGCTGTCTCGTTGCTGTTTTCGCCACTCGCACGATTCACTCTTTTCTGCCACTCGTCAATCAATTTTCCTTTTACGAGATCCAGGGTCAAATCTTCATCCGGCCTCGCCTCCAGAGCAGTGACTAGAGTTTCATATTCCTCAGGGAGACTGCTAAATAAAATTGCCACTAACCACTGGTCATCCAGAACTGCATTTTCCTGCATTGCATTCAACCTTTCTACTAGGTCCGTTAGCGTAGCGATGTGTGTCTCCATATCACCCTTCTGTTCAAGACGAAGACGGCAAATTTTTCGCATCAGACACACTTTTGTACTTAGAGTGTTTTTGACGTGAACCCTTTTTAGATTTTGCCAAGCCTCCATTGCCGTTTCAGCTTTCTTAATATGTATCAGCTGGTTATCTTCAACTGCTAATCCAATATGTGCCATTGCCAGCTCATTTTTCGATTTCCACTGTACCGTAACTGGTTCCTGTTTCTCATTGCTGATAGCCTCCCAACATTTTTCTTTTATTAACAATAACTTCATTTTGAAGCTCCAATTGTCATAGTTGGAAGCATTCAACTTGACGAACGACACCAGTTTTTCATTCATAACAAACAATTCGAAAAAATTATCTGCACAAACGACAACTTTTGAATGCTTGAAATTTATTCGCAGATGCGGTATACTGGGCGCATAACCTTTTAGAAGACAGATATATGTGAACACGTAGTTAAAACAAGATTATAATTATTTGTCATAAAAATACACTGACAAATTTATTTAGAACAATTACTCAATCTCTCAGTGCTAACTGATCTATTTAAAAATATTTAGTGTTGCTATTTTTCTCAACACCTATTTCCTTAACATAGCTTGGTTTTTTTGCAAGACAGCATCTTTCGCTCATCACCTTATGTAAGTAATTACGGCACGCTTTGGTTTTGCTTTGCACGCACTCATCTCACAGAACGCCACGACTTTGGGACAAAGTCTAAAGTTCAAAGCCTCTAACTTGAGAAATATCAAAGCTATGACCTTGGTAAATACCGGGACAATGACCTTGGGAAATCCCGGCGCAATGATCTTAGTAAATCCCAAGACCATGACCTTGGGAAATCCCACGATAATGACCTTGGAAAATTCTATGACCTTGAACTTGGAAAATCCCAGGGCAATGACCTTAGAGACATCCGTGCCCATGATCTGGGGAAACCCCATGCCATGACCTTGCGTCGCCGCGCTTCGCTCTTGTTAGCGGTACCCTTTAGCCCTTTTGTAACTACGCCGATTTCTTAATCACCACTGAGCTGAAAAATTTTGGTTTGTAATGCTTTTACGACCTAGGTAGCAGTTGTAGCAGTCATCCAGTGAATAAATAAGTCATAAGATCTACCCAATGGTGCGAGCGACCCCACCGAATTTTATTATCATCAATCTTCACTTTCTTTTTTTAAATTATTCTTTGTTCACTCGTATTATGTTTTATGGACTATTTGTTGCAAGATGTAATATTGGGTTTTGTAGAGAGTTATGATCAAGGCCAATGAGGCAAAAGTGGCATAACCATGTTGAATAATATAAAATTAATAAAATAATAACACTTTAACAATGTACTTACAATCCGTATGAACTATTGATAGTTAAAGAAGTAATATGGCTTGGCGGTTCGCCATTGTTCCAAGGCGTGAGGCACACTAATTGCGCTTGAAAACCAGGCACTTTTTTTTGAACTCCAGTTCGAACCCGAAGCGTAGTTTCCTAGGGTAAATAGAAAAAAATTAAGACAAAGGTATTGCACCACATTCTATGAAAATCAAGTATTATGACGTACCTTTTTCGCATCAGTATCTAAGACATCCATCCGATTGCCGGATCCTGCACTACCTGGGCCGGCAAATTCGCAGTCTGGCGAACATTCAATGTCGTCGGGAATTTCATATACTATTGGAATTTCCAACACCTGAAGATAAGGTGAAATACAGGTAGGTAGGTAGGTGCACACTCAAATGAGAAAGCTTTACCGTAACTTCTTCGCTTGTTTCCGATTTTTTAAACTTAAAAAGTATGACATAACTTGAAGCTCCTGCGATGCAAAGCTTGCGAGATTCTGGGCACAAAGATATTAACTGTACGGCGAAGGGCTCTTCTTCATTTTCTACAGACCGTGCCTTGGGTTTCTCGAAAACCTTCGCAGTCTTTAATTTGTACAATACTTGAAGCGTTCCCGCGCTGGCATCCCAAAATTTTATACTTCCATCGGAGTGACTAGGTAATCCATGATATACAAGCTTGAATTGTACACAATAAAAACCTACCCCGTCATAACGACTTCACTGTAACTGCACGACTGAGCAGACCAGGTTCCACCGCTAATAGGCCACTCTTTCTCGGAGAAACCTGCCCGCTTTGATGCACTCGCTCTACCAACGGAATATAAAGCGGGTATAAGATCCGCCGGACAGTCGGCTAAGTACGCACAACAGGTCACAGGTGATTCGTGTATATCCATAGGATACGGATTTTCAATGCATGGAAACCCTAATGTTTGTAAATCCATAACAACTAAATCATTTTGTAATAAAACTATTATTGCATAGGGTTCTTGCATTTCTAAAAAAAATTATGATGGCGGATTTAATCGTGTATGAACAGTCTTACCGCTAGAATAAGGTGATTCACATAGAGTTATAAAATCTATCACATTATGCTCCATTTCCAATACAGTTGTGGTTTTACTATGTACAACAGTTATACTAGGTGTTCTACCTGCTTGATCGTAAGGCATTCCACCCGAAAATATCACATATGCTTCTCTGCAAGAAAGCAACAGGATAGGTATCAAATAATTATTACTTACTGGGAAAATATGTAAATCAATTTAGAAGTTATCGTTCATTGTTCAAGGTGTTAAATATACAATATCCGTTTTGCATTAGACGAGCGATTTATGCCAAGATAAACATATCAGTGAAATAGAGAATACCATGTAGTACGAGTCGTTGTCCCAAATGCGCATAATGTTTAAAAATATAAAACTTCTCCGCACTTTTGCCGAATCATCCCCTTGCTTCAAAGCTCCTCATTGTGTTTGTTGTGCCGACTGTGTGCGTAGCTCCTTAGTTTGCTAGTGTATTTCGTGTTTCTTTTCGTACGCGCTTTGTTTTTTCTCTAGCATGGGAAAGGAGAAACGCGGGCGTAAAAGCGGCCATCATCAACGGATCGAGCAGGCTGCAAGACCTTGTCAGACGTCTAGTTAAGTTAGATGGGAAAATAAAAAGGCGTCGACATAGATCACCGGTAAGCAGTCTCCCGCTCGACAGCGTCCAGCTTCGAGCAGCGTGCAGGATTTGGCGTGCAGCTGATCCTATCAAGTTTGAGCAATATGGTGACGAACTCCTACTGGGTCTCGATAAACACATCGGCGACCTTCGACAGCTGTTGGACGCCACCTTGCGCGAGCCCTTCTTCGTACCGCTCACCTGGACGCTCTTACAGGGCGTCTCCGAGGCGTAAGGGCATTCGCGATTTTCCCGAGACCGGGGCTGAAAGACGAGAAGGAAGAGGGACACAGGAACTGACTCGTCCCCTGGGTCCCCTTCAGCAACCATCACAAACCAGGACGCCGTTGCGTGATCTGGTGCTGGCAGACAACCTGTCTGGCGAGGATGTATTAGACTTCACAGTCGACCCTCTACCAGACGGCATTATGGAAATGTTGGGAAAAATCTCGAGAAGGGAAAACGAGATAGAATTCCACCGTCCGCCGTATCTCTCAAGGTCTTCGTTTGCGAGGCGATTCGGTCCGCAAAGCAGGAACACAGCGGGTAAATTTAATCACCCACCGCCCGGCACGTCGCTTGGTCAAGACGCGGCCTCTAATAGAACAAGGTCAGGAGAAGGGGGGTTTAGCCTCTGTAAGCATGGCCATTCTCAACTATTTTGGGATCGATAAATGGGGTAAGAGTAGCCTTTGTCGAACGCCCCAAAACAGCTCAAGGCCCCTGCAGATAATCACTTCAGTTTAACCGAAAACATTCGGATGCGAGAGGAAATTCTTTTGCTGCTTAAAATAGGGACCATTCGGTTGTTGTGGGCGCTTCAAAGGAGGAATGTCAAGAGAATACTCTGTTAACTATGAATTTTTTGATTTCGTTAGGGTTCTTAATCAACACCGAGAAAAATATATTGGCTCTGACACAAGGTGTAAATTTATGGGATTCCTTTTAGACTCCGTAAAAATGACATTGTACCTTGCGACATCTGATCTTCGCTTCCGATAAACGTGAAAAAATTTTCCGCGAAATAAATTTTTTTCTTAATTGTCGTACACGCACGCGATTTTTACGTCAGCGTGTCCCACAGTGAAATATGATATGGGCTGTACAACAAACTTTTGAGCGAGAAAAGTACCAGGTTTTGCGTAGGCATGCAGGTAATTACAATAAAACGATGCGCATTCACGAATTTTTGACCCCGGACTTATTCTGGTGGCGCAATGGCATACATACAGTGAGTTTTTTTTTAATGCGAACATAGGAGTTTGCATGCAATGTAATTTCCCTATGTTCGATTTTTAAAAAAACACATCATGTGTGCGGGTCACATTCACAAATCGCGCAACTTGTGTGATTATGAACAGCAACTCTATAGTCCTTATGATGAAGAGCACTCGGTAAGATTTTTTAAAATAAGCTATGTGAGCCCATAGCAACTTTAGGATACATTTTTCTTAAACTTACAATAACTTGACCTCACAGGGCACGCGCTGACACCGCACAACTAATTGTGAACCAACCTTCAATTATTTGTAGGTTATGTGCACCTGGTATTCTACTAGTTTGATCTATTCAGTACATAAATGAAGAAAATAAATACCGAAAACACTTACAATAAATGTTCGGAGTGTCCTCCTTGACATTATAAGCAATAACCTAACCGATTTAGTAATTAAATTGGACGGCGGTATTTTTAAAAATGTGACAGCTGTCAATTGTATCTACTACTCATTTGAACTACTCAATAGATTTATGTGTTTTTTTTTTAATCGAACATAGGGAAATTACATTGCATGCAAACTCCTATGTTTGCATTAAAAAAAAATTCACTGTATATCCTACAACGACTTAACATCAGACCAATGCAGCTAATGATTTATTCTGATGTTAGTCTCACGGATTGGGGTGCAGTGTGCGATGTCAGCAGCGGTTACGGGTGGTGGACCGGTCAGGACATACATGATCATATAAACGTTTTGGAGATATGGGCAATCTTTTATGGCATGAAATATCTAGCTAGCAATCTTAAAGACCCCAGAATTCTAATGCGGACAGATTAAAACTACTACTGCTCGGTCGTATATCAATAGAATGGATAGCGTTAGATTTCCACTCCTTAATCAACTGGTTTGAAATATCCAGTCCTGGTGCGAAGAGCGAACTTGTGGATTGTCGCTTTTTACATAAGCTCTGCGGAAAACGCTCTCGGAGATCATGAATCTCGAAGATTACTATCCGAAACAGAGCGGCCTATGAGTCAAGCTGCTTACATCCAGATTACAGAACGGTTTGGATTCCCGGATATTGACCTTTTTGCATATATGGCTAACTACAAATGTAACAGGTATGTCTCTGGGAGAAACGACTCTGGCGCGACAACAGTCGATGCCTTCACTTTGAATTTGGCGCTTTCCCTCTCTTTACCTTAAGTTTACGGGTATTACAAAAAATAATAGCCGATAAGGCAATTGATATCCTGGTACAACCCCTTTGAGAAGCAAAAGAACCCCCTTTTTGTAAGATTGACGTCTCATACAATTACGATCGCACATCAGCTAAGTTCTTTTGATTGTTTAATTTATTAAGCGCTAACTTCTTGAAAGTGAGGAAAGATTATTTTTCATGTAAATAGACACAGAAATGCGTAATTGTCGTAAAGTGAACTGGTTTATTAAATTCATTTAAAAAAAGCAAAATAAAAAAGTAGTCCGGTTGAAAAATAACTACTTACCCCGTCTTTGAACATTTCCACTCAACTTTATTAATCGGCTTGCATTGCTCTAATTTCCCATCTTTATTTACTTTCGCTGTAAAAAATCCGAAATAGGTTCATTCAGAAATAAAAATTCCTTACCGTGAGGTTGAGATACATGAATGGGTTTGTTATTCTGTTTAATGCTCCACGTCGTTAATGATCCATCCGTATGTGAGCACATAAATTGTTTGCCTTCGAAATGCCACGCTATCGACCTAATTGGTTCAAGTGTTTGACAACGTAATTCTGCCGATTTACTTCTTAGGTCCCATAAAACTATCTGACCAGTTTCGTAACCTACTAATAACTAAAACCAATCGTTGCGTTAAACGAATAAATGTACATGTTTTCTTACCTTATTTGGGTCTATAGGATTATCGCTTAAGTGAACTACAGGTCCCGGATGTGTTTTTCTTGACCTAAAAGAGTACAAAACATAGATACCAGAAATCCGAAACCCAACCCTTACATGTCTATTGCTTTATTCCAATTAATAACATAACCAGATAATATAAAATTTTCTAATTGGATAATGTGTATGTTTCCTTTTTCTGTACCGACATACATCCATTTCGATTGTAAAGGTAAATGAATAGACGTAATTCTGAAAAAAAAAACTATTTTCGAATAATCCACTACCCATTTCTTAACGTACTTTTCTCTTTGAAATTTTAAACTTTGTACAATTTGTGGCACTTTTTGCCGAAAATTCCATAAATGAATGGTATCATCAGCAGTTGCCGATACAAGGGCACCTTCGTTAAATAAAAATTGTAAATGAAGTACCGCAGCTGAACCTGGAGGACCGTCCATATCATGCCGAATATGAACATCTACACCTGGTTGTCCTAATCTGAAATATGGTTAAGGACAATAACATTAGAAATGTTCGTGGCATCGGTGCTATGTAGATGTTTTCATTTTGTATAAAATATCGAATACAAACGTATACCTATATCAGCTATACAAGTTTATTTCGTTTTGTACGCTACATTGGTAATTCTATAAAATATGTATTATAGGCGTGCTTGAGAGATATTCGATCTTTGCATTTTCAAATAGACTTGAAAATGGATTATTTCATTCTGCTATCTAAACAAGAATGAAAAATTCAGCTAAAAGAACTTCGAGATATACATTATTCATGCGTTTACTGGAATATAAAAATCACACCCGCTTTAGGATCATAATTTCTTTTCTAATATCAAGATTTGTGTCCAGCACTATTTTGAAGAAGAACATGAAGATATATCATTTTGGCGCATTTTCCAGTAATGCGCCACGTAACAGATACGTTCAAATTAAATTAATAGTGTTGATGAACGAAATCATACTCACGTTAGGAATAACATCGCGGATTACGCCATCATTACTGTAATACAAATTTTAAATAAACCCACGACTTCTGTTGATTTTCACATATTTATTCGCATTTCCTATTAGAAACCTGGCCATCTACTCGTCTAAAGAGAAACGTTTTTAAATGTAATACCAAACAGCAGTCGTAGTAACTTAAAGGATTATATAATAGCTAAAAGAGTAAAAAGGACAAGATCATACTCACTTCATGGGATAATGTTGTGGGTTACAGAATCATTATTGTGATATAAATTGCAATAGTCTATTTATTCTAGTTCTATTTAATTCTATTGATTTCATGTTTTCGAAAGCTATTAAAACATTATCCATTCTTCCACAAACATTGGACGACTTTATACCTTAACAAGATCTATTCAATATATTTTGATGTGATCAACCTGTATGGAAACGCAATGAACTTTTGAAATAAAAGGAAAGTGAATTTGTTCTTGCAGATGACCCAAATCCGACATTTTTAAAAATCAATTCTCGTAACCGCCACCAGTTATACATATTGACATTTGTAGTAAAGCGTCAAAACTAGGTCTGTTGATGGGCACTTCCTGCAATTTTTTTACCCCACAATCCTTAAAACGCTATATTATTCATTTCTATGATCAATTTTAGGATATACCTTTGGTCCCTCTACTTTTCAAAGTATAAAAGGACAATACAAATAGTGCAGCATAAGGTTTACCGTATAGTAATAAATATTATAAATAGTGCATTAAAGTATGCGTCGTAAATGCCTTAATAGAGATCCAAATTTTCGCAATGCCATTTTAGATATTGGAATTTAGAGCATTTAGAGCCTGGATAAATAAATGGAAGCATGCCAGCTGAAATGGAACCTGTGCATATTTATGATCCGTATACCAATCGTTATACTAAAACAATGAATTTTATCGCACGACCATTGAAATAATTGTTGTCTTCACATCAGTTTAAGGAAAAAAAATGCGCGCGTAAGCAAGCAACTATTTCATTTACTTAGATATACCTCTTTGTTTCTCTATACTTCCTTTGCCAGAATTAAAAAAAACGGTTTCATACGGCAACGAATATAAAAAATGTCATTAAAATTACGTGTATAATAATAATAATGCATTTATTTTCACGTCATAACAACTTAGAAACAAAGACTGAGAGTGTAATAAGGAGACAAATGCATATACCTAAGCTGTATGGTGAAATCTAAGTATATATAATATAAAATAAGGGATGTTCGATTGAGTGGCACACAAATATTTAGTAAGTGCCCAAAAAAGTTAATCAATACAGGCACGAACAAATTTCACTAGATAACAGGGGAATTACGGGTGTAAAGGTGGGGTTAGAGAAGATTAACAAAGGCGGGTTTAAGGAAGGCTATAACGTAATCTTTATTGCGAGTTAACAAAGGTTAGATGAAATCTACTCAAAGGCGTTAGTCCCGGCGAATATAAAAAGGTGCAGAAGGAGCGTCTAGGCAAGCTTAAATTAGATACTACACGTCTTACAATTTGAGTGTAGGATGCAAATCAATTTATAAATGTTCAACGTTACAAGACTTTAAAATGATTGGTGACAATATCATTTGAATTACTTATATTCTGAACGTAAGTAGAACGTCACGATTCCAATTCCTTTGTTCGTAACGCCCTTATTCGATAAATCTTCACATATCGTCGACGTGATGCTGTTAACAACGTGTGATAATGTTAGAATTAAAAATGCTAAGGAAAAACTGGCTGTATGAATGCCAGCAATTGTTCACGAGACATTATTTGTACGCTAGATTTGGTCCAAGATGAAAAGATTTGTAATATAGTGTTGTGTTATTTTGTTTTAGTTGTAACTTGAAAGAAATTATAGAGCGTCTGGATGTGACAATTTTGTTTAGTTCAATTAATTAACCGGGGGGGTTATTAATAATTTGAGACACAGGATTGCGTAAATTTCATGTTATAGTTTTGGTTCAATTTCTTAGAAGTGTTCTGTTTTTATTTTATTCCTAGAATTTTTTTCGATGTAAATTTCTTTTTAAATTTTATTTGCCGTTAACGAGGTATAGCGCGAAGTAGAGATAAGGTTGTCTTCGCAGAATTGCCGGGCGTACGTGCCGTTTAGCAAGAAGTTGAAAAATCGACGCTTCGCGTGATTGGCGGGCGGGATGTTGAAGAAAGGAGAAGGGCTTTTGGCTTAAATAGAAAATTTTTGAAGAGAGCGGGGCTTTTTAGTCGTTACAAAGCCAACCGGCGCTTCTTCGGTTACGTGATTTTTGAATTTTGTGGAAGTTTCTTGCGTAGTGGATCCAGGTTTAGTTAGAATTTTTGTCTGCCGTTTAAGAAGAATTTTTGAAAAGTTTAAGAATAACTGTGGGTACCCGAAGAGAGAAGACGTCGGTGTTTGAGTGTTTGGTTTGTGGGAAAATTTTTTTGTTGTGATCGTGTACGGATATCTCTTTGTATCAGAGTACGTTACTCGGACAAATTTTAAAGTAAGTAGTAGTTAGTGGTTTGTTTTTGTCATGTTTTTTTTTTGTAATGTTTGAGTAATTTGTGTTTTTTTTTGTGTGTCATTTATCTGTTTAAAATTGTAACAATTTGTAAAACAGAAATTTACGCAATTTTTTGTCTGAAATTAAACCAGTCCTTGCAATCCAGGTTTTGTTTATTAGAGTCAAAGAGAGGTAATTGTCGGCGTCTCTTACTTTGTTTCAAGTTTATTAAATCTGGGGGTAAAGTTTCATATTGGAATTTAAGGGAGGTATTAGCCACCGACCTGGCGAGGTTGCTACCCCCTTGTCCGGACGAAGAAAAGGGGTGGTCGGACTCATTTTACGGGCCCTGAGATTTGTGTTTTTAAGAGTTTGTGTGGGATTGAGCTAGTAAGGGTAAGTTGTGTGGGTATCTTTCAGGCTTAGGAAGTTTACACAACAATAGTTAATGAAACGTTTTCGCAAACAATAACAATATACCCTGAGTAAACAAACAGAACAAGACGTCATAAACTGGACTATCGAGTATAATTAATGTATAAGATGCTTTATCTGTCAGAATGGCTATGCTTTTCATGCCATTTTTTATACTAGAATCTGTGCTAGAGAAGCAACACCATCCTGAAATGGGTAACATTTACGAAAGCTTAACTTAGATATCATTTTAAATTTGCAATGGAGGTTATAACGAAAACAAAATTCGCTAATGTAGCTACATAATAAATTCATAATTCATCGGTTGTAGTGTACACATACGAACATCGAAAGTGATAGCACAGAAGAAACCTCCAGGGATTTATTTCGCAATTCAACGTAAACTTGGATATACATTTTTGGGGTAGCAATTATAAAAGCGGACACGGTAAAAAGCGAACCTTGTATAAATAAACAACATAATAAAAATGATTTACGAACTGAGATGGATTATCCATCCGTTTGATAAAGGTCCGCCTGTTGAAATGAAAAAATCACGAATCGTAAAAATGTAACAAATCGATTTGCTTTGAAATAGCTAGAAGCACCGATTTGGAAATTAAACTTTATGCTCTCCAAACCAAAGTTATAGGTAATGAATAACCCAAATCTATGCCAAATGTTAAAATTATCTACTGGCAAATCTGCATTTGCAAAATAAGTTTAACGCTCCAATTGCCATATCTAGGATCACGGTATGGTCAGAGACTGTAACAAAATCTCTGCGGTATGGTACGATAAGCTGGGTTGATATGTATATCGCATGTAAAAATGTAAAAATTGGGTGGTAGAGGAGATCAAAACAAGCACTTTTTCCAAATAAACCGAGGGTCCACCGTGTTTTTAGAGTCATCCTCTAAAAAGTGGTAAAATTTGCATTTCTTCTTTAATTTTTTCTGAGCAACCACGAGTTACAAAGACTGGTGGCTGATGACTGGGGTTTTCGAACATGGAAATCACGAATCTGAATTCTTTTTGAAAATTCGAAAAAAAGTCCGCCAATTCTTGGCCGGACAATGAAAATGGAGATAATTCCACAAAATTTGTTGTGTACATTCTTGATGAGTTAAGGAACAAAAGTTGTACTTACTGATTTTAAAATTGGACCTTCGGTTCACAAAGTGTCCCCCGCTTAACTAGTGAGTCACCTAATTTAGCAAGTGGTTAATTGAAAATGTCGCAAATAACAAAAAAATAACGATATTATGATTAAATCATATTAAAAAAATTCGATATGTCGATCATGATATTGAAGTCTACAAATTCGATTCCAAGATGTAGCTTGTGCGTGGCCGCGGGTGGTGGGAAAATGTTATTTGAGTTCCCTTACAAGCAATAAATATTATTCAAAGTATCATAATATCGACTTAAATAGTTAATTTTTTGTTATTTGCGACATTTTTAATTAACTACATGCGAAATTAGATGACTTACTGGTTGGCGGCGGATACTTTGTGAACCGAAAGACCAATCTAACTGAGTATAACTTTTGTTCGAAAAGTGATTTTATAAAAAAACTGTTCGAATCGTGTGTGTTTAGA